AATACGCGTACGTTGCAAGACTAAATGCCTGCACAAACTCGATTTGAAACAGAGATCATATCAGTGATATCAGTTTCCTCGAAAATGTAGAGCGAGATAATGAAGGTACAGCGTAAAATCGGGCATTGCTCTGATTATCGCGTGAACAAGGAATATTTTACAATGCAAAAAAAGATATGTGAATTGAATAGAACGTTTCACTTTTTTTTCGCTTCGAAACGAACAATAACAAATCAATTCATGCAACCAAAAACGACGTAAAGCTGTGATGAATCATGAATCATGAATCACTCCTTATCTTCGTCTTTCGTTGTTTTTCGAAGTTTTTTTTCGACTCCTATATATTTCAAGATATGTTATTATTAATAACTTAAATATTATTTGCAAAATTTATTTTAAAGAAGTATAGCTAAAGAGCTTTTTACAAAATTTATATACGATATCTACGTTTAATATCACAATGTTTCTTCAATGTGAAGTTACTTTTGTCAGTAAAATCGGGACATTATCAGTGTTTTTGTATGCACCGATTGTATTACACATATTGTACTGTAAATTTAATTATCATTCAAGACTCGTATAGAAGTTTCTAACGTAACGGTGAATTCAAAGTGCGAACGCGCACTCGCGAAGACACTTCGTCACCGCGTACAGAATCCAAGACCGACAGTTGCGTAACACGCTCATGACATTTCTAGAGATAAAATTTCGAACAGTTTTGCTCTATTCTATTATATTAAAATATTTTATCGAATATTTTTATTAAAAATATTAAGAATTATGTTGCTCAGTAAACGCAAAGAAATTTAGATATAACGGTGCAAAGTTATAAGTTTCAATAAGTACAATTTAAAGATAAAAATTAATTTATGCGTTTTATGTATTTATGTATTTTACGAGATTGTAAGTATAATCATATGTATCTACAGATTTCTTTTTATAAAGATTTATAAAGAGATCAGGAAATATTCGTTATTTCCTTCCTCGACAAATCTCAAAATAAAAAAAAATGACTTGTATATATTACATGTACACACACACTTTTTTTCTTGTAATTTAAATAAGATAATTTTTTCATAAAATTTCTAGATCTTTAAGAAATGTCTGTTTAATAAAAATTTATTTCCATATTAATATTATATGTTATTCAGAAATATATAGTATAATTCTGTTTACTACACGTTCCTACGATTTGTAGAAATATAGTTTATATATGCAAGTCATAAAAACCACATGTTTTTTTTTTACTGATAATTGTAAAAATATATATTTTTTGCACGTATATAGATGATACAGCACATTGATAAATACGTTTATTATATATGTATTTTACCGGTATTATCGAACCAGAAACGATAATTGACAAAAAGTCATATGTGTGAACATAAATTATTCGCATGTATAACTTTGCGCTTGCTTTCTTCACCTCTGGCGTCACAGTACAAGCAGTCAATCCGAGGTTCAAGGTAACGATAGATTCTCAAGTTTTATATGAAAAGATATTATAAGGCATTATGTGAATTCTCTTTTACTGAATGTCAGGTATGCTTCGTAAAAATCTACGAAGTTTCTTCCGGTTTCTGCATTAATCTTTATAAGCAGAAAATAATCGTATTATTAAATTAGTAAACCGGAATAGAATCATTATGCTTGCGGGATATATGTCGCATTTTCTTATAGCGCTCAAAACATTTCGATTAGACCTTGTGGAATATAGTCGGTGACACAGTAAGTTTCTCGTTCATAAAAATGATTGTGACATGTATGATAAGCGTTTTCACTTGGTTGTTTCATAGATAAATCATTCGCCTATGTTTAATATACTTTTTTAGTATACTTATTATAATTACACAGTTTTAAATTATCGATAACTCAGAAATCATAATTTTTAATAATTTCTAAGTTATCGATAAATCAAAACTATATAAATTTAAAAAATAATTAAATTATTATATATAATTTTAATTTGCAAATATTGATCACATTTATTAACAATTTGGAACATTGAACTATTGTTTATGAATGCAACATTTACTGGAATTAAGTATTACATAATTAGGGATTTCAGAAATTTTAGAAAAAAAATGTATTTTATAATATAAATTTATAATAACGCCGAACAATTTTATTTTATCTTTCTTGCACAAGTGTTTGCGTTTTGCATTTCTTGTCCATTAGTGTTCAAATATTATCATTTCAGGCTTAAACTTTTTGTACATCAAACAAAGATAAATGTGACTAGAAATTAAAAATTTAAATTTCTTTTCAATTTATAATAATTTACGTTTATTGGAATATTAGTCTACATAATGCATAACGAATTAAAAAAAAATAGTTAAAAAACGAGTTTAAAAAACAAGAAATTAATCTGACAATGAATTATGAAAATTGATAATAGAAAAATGGCATGCACCATTTAAAAACTTATTAAAAATGAAAATATAGTATCTGCCATAGATTTAATTCAATTATCGATTTTAAATTTCAAAATAGAAAATCATTTTAAAAAAAGATGGTTTTAAATTATATATTTATTATTCTATTAGTAAACAGATATTTTTATTATTAACAGTTTTTTATTATTAAAAAGATCAAACATATTTATGTTAATAATATAACTTTTACATTTTATAAATATTAGCAAAATATATCCAGGTAGTAGATATACAGTTTGCTAATATTTAGCAATGAATACTAGCAATGAATAGCGCGCATATAATGAACAATTATGCAAATATTTCTGATCCATAAGAATCAAACAATTCAATAATTTAAGCTTCTAAAATGCAAATACGTTCAAACACTGAAATGTGCAAATCCTTCCATCTTTCGCACATTCTTCTATAGCTATATGTTTTCAAAAGTTATTTAATGTCAACAAGTTATTTCTGATTTTAGTAGTTATTTCAGTAGATCGTTTACTAGCTTACTTCTGATTTCAGGTAGCTATTTTAAATCCGAGTAATACGCTTCACGTATAATATCTCTACTTAAGAAGAGAATTTAGGAATATTTATATATTAATTATATTTTTATTATTCATAATTAATTACATTTTTCGTAGCTAAATGAGCATTCAATTATACATTATGAATAAAATAAAATTATGCTGTTTCATTAATGATAATTGACTTAAAAAAATGATAAGATAAAGTAGTTAAACGTTGGACAATGGACAATAAAAAGTTTCATGTTCAAGAAATCTAGGTACTTAGAGTTAGTACAACATATTATTCATTATGATTTAGTTACTAAAACGAAATTTAATTTAATCCAGGTATGCGTGGAATTAAGAAAAAATATGTAAAGCGTGAAATATTCGATATATTTTTTGGAGAAAGTGCCTGAGAATCTCTTAAATTTTATTAATATCCAACTTCTCGCGCATTCAAATGACTAGTCCTTTAAAAGAATTAACCTTTTCAAGCATGCATGCCATTCTCTATTTTCATACATAATTGTCGTTCTTCAATGAACGGATTATATTTAGAAAATAAATAAGATTTAGATTATCATAAATAAATCTTAATAAAAAATTAAACTGAATTTTTAAATTTGAATATTCAATATCGGAATATTCCTAAAACGTGTACGTATTACAATTTTTGCAGCAATTAACAATTCAGAATAGAATTAAAAATTTTTTCATCTCAATAAAAGTGATCTTAGCAAAGAGTTTATTCAAATTATTTCAGTTAATAGTTGTTTTCGCCATGAAATTATAACATTACGTGTCTGACGTCAAAAGCGCCGCACCTCGATGCAGAATAATTTAAAATAGAAATCAGGGACAATCTAAGTCATCGCGCGATCTAATTGTAAGAGGACTGTGTGAATCATTAAATTCGGTGTTTCACAATTACACCGCGTTAATTAAGAAACTCGGTACTTTTCAACGGTATATTTTTTTCGACAAGTGTCCCAGATGAAAAGTTTGGAACGCTTCCACGTTCCTCATCTGCATTCCTCATTTTCAAGAACTTAACTTGTACAATAAAATACGTAAAATACGTCTATACCTCTATACACAAGACTACGGATGCCTCGACGGTTTAGACGTCGAGTTGTTATTACTCCTAATGCATGTGCACATTTACAAAAGCGAGAGATCAAGATCGTTCGACAGAAAGAGACACCTTACGCACGTCGATTTATTTCGTTTTCCAAAAATAAATCGAGCTCGCGTAACGTTGATAAAAACGCTTCTCACCGCTTCTCGATGGGAAACTGTACTTTGATGTGATCGCGATCATAAGGCACAAGGCGGGTACAAAGGTCCTACGGTAAGATCTATTTATAATAATCTAAATCTTATTTATTTTCTAAATATAATCCGTACATTCATTGAAGATGTGAGATGAACGACAATTATGTGTGAAAATAGAGAATGGCATGCATGCTTGAAAAGTGCGGAAGGTCAGTCGTCTCGCGCGCTAATTAACTTGCGACCCACAGAAAATCCCTCCTCCAACTCCGCTGCATCCGTCTCCGCTGGACCGCGCGAGAGAATCACCGTCCACCGGAAATCGTCCGGAGCATTCCGTTTTTTTTTTTAGAATCGAATTAAACAAAACAAAAAAAAGGAACTAAATCGATCCTTCGTTCTCGCCAGCTGCGAAATCGCTGGGTGATCGTCGCCGAACGTCTTCTTACGCGAGACGCGGCTACGCAATGACGCGTAAGGTTACCCGACTCGCGTTCCCCGACGCACGTGCCGCAAAAAGCATTAACGTGCTTCAGGAAACGGGACTCTCTTCCGGCAAAAGGCGAGGCGAGACAAACCGGGTCGAAGGCAAACCGCGACATCGCAAATATCGCGAGGTGTGTGTGTGTGTGTGTGTATGTGTATGTGTGTGTGTGTGTGTGTGTGCGGTCCGCGCTGATGTCCAGGAAACGACCATCCGGGAGCGCACCGGTTGATCTCTCTCTCTCTCTCTCTTTCATTGACATACGAGATCGACGGAGCAGAAAACCGGGACTATTGCAACTCGGGAACTCACCTCGAAGAGAGCCAGCAGCAGCTTGATGTATAGCCTACGCACACCGAGGGACTTGCCGACGGACGCAAGGAATATGATCGCCAGCAGCAGCATGAGGAAAGGTGTCAGCAGCAACGAGAACGCGAACGATATCACCGTCCATAACAACGCCATTTTGCTCACTGCCGCGAGCTCCGTGCTCCGAACGGTTCGAAGTGTCCGAACACCGAGCCGTTTTTTCGTCTACGATTATCAACGTGTAATGGGTGGGTTAAGGGGGGTGGGGGGGGGGAGAGGTAGCAGGGAATCGCATCCTAGATGGGAACACTCGTTGGAGTCGCCTCTAGACGCATGAAACATGACGCGCCATCTACGAGCAAACTTGCGAATTAACGTTAAAACCTTACCAGCTGTTTAAATACCTGCAGACTCCTGCAATATCACGTTCCACAGCGATCGGCGATATCGACGTGAAGTATTTTTTATATGTCAATATACACATAATATATATATATATATATATATATATCTATGTATATATATGTATATATATTATATTCAACGCATATAAAAAAATATTCTTGTTACGCAATAAAATAATTTTGTATTTGAATTAAAACCTGCACGGAAAGGCAACAATCGTTTTCATAAATGCCGCGCGGCGCGCGGCGTACGTATTAAAGTCCCTAGTATCACATTCCCTAGAAGTAAAGTGACATCCTTGTCCGTCAGGCCGTCAGCTGCCGCCAGCAAGATGTCGACCGCCGAGTTGAATCCGAGACCTTTGCGAGTTTCTCCCTTCATCAAGGTTAAAAGGAACAGCTTCTCTTATTCTGTCGTATATTCTCCTGCGTGTCTTCCTCGTGCATTTTATTTCACGGCGAAACCCGGTTCTTTCCGACTGAGTTTTCACCGTCTTCTCGTCACGATCGGGGATTCATTTTTTATGTTACATAATTTTTCTGCTGTTTCGCGAAAGTATTTCAAATTAATAAATACATATTAAAAAAAAAATAACTGGTGTCAACGGCTTCCATTGTTAGGTCAGCTCGCTTCGATTTTTCATTGAAGGATATCTTGATGTTGTCTCTCGATTTTCTAACCTTAAAGGAAATTTGTAGTATTTCGCTTTTCGTGTAAATATTCGAAATTCATTTAGTAATTGATTTTTTAGTCTATTATCTAGTGAATTAAATTTCGCTGTCTCAACTTGTTTTATGAGTGACACTTATAATACCAGTTAATATTTATTTCTCATTTTATAAACATGAAACTATATAAACAATCTGTTTTTTAATTGAATGTATTTGTGCCTTATAGTTTTGCCGTTGGAGTCTGCTCCTTACTGGAATCGCTTATGGCGCGTATCATCACAGAAGATTCAAGAGAATAGAAGATGCTCGCAGAGCAGAGGAGCTGAGGCTTAAACCTATGCGCGACGCTAAGCTAGCCGAAGAGAAGAGACTTGCTGTATTAGGTAAAACACTTGATTGCAGATATAAATATAAAAATAAATATTGTCCTAAGCTCCCTAGCGAAAATAGAAACGGAGCATAAATTGAATGTAAGGGAAAAGTGACCAAAGCTTAAAAACTTCTAGGAAGCATAAATTGGTGCAACAGAATGTAAAAGACGTTTTAATTAGCCTTCTCTTTTAAGCTTTTGTCACTTTTCCCTTACATTCGACTTATTATGCTTCAATCCTTATTTTTGATGAAAATATAATATAATACTTAATAACAAGAAATAAAAGATCTCTATTATTGTGTAAAAAATATATTTCGTGAAACTATCAAATGTTTTTTTAATCAGTTTTTTCATCAATTTGATATTTTATGGATCTCTGTTCTGATGTTGTGATTCTTTGAATCACAATTGAAAATAAAATACTTTGTGCAAAACTAGCCAAAGAACTTTTCATTGGTCAAAAAGTGATTAAAAGAATATTTGAACTTTTAGAGATTGTGTATAAAAATATTGTATGTAAATGTGTTATAATGTAGATTAAAATAAATTTTTTTTTCTTTTCAGCGGAACAAAAAATGTTAGACGAGTTTTTTACTCCAGCCAAGACACCATAACCGCAATTTGTTTGGCGTTAGTATATAAATATATACATACATACACATATATGTATGTATATGTGTGCGTGTGTTACGAAATTTTGATTGATTTGTATGTATCTATAAAACTAGTCGACATGCTACTTCAACATCATTGTCACTATCACAGATAAGTTCTTCTTCTGTTGTATAAAAATAATAAATAAAGATCTGTGAAAATATAATAAATTGTGTACAATAATGTGCAAAATATACATGAAAACTGAGATTTTATAGTATGTTCCAATGCTAAATACACTGTTAAATATATTGCAAGTAAAATACTTAAGATTATTGCAAAATATATAATCCCATTCTTCTAATAATAAGTAAAAAAAAAAATCGCCCGAACAGGGACTCGAACCCTGGACCCTCAGATTAAAAGTCTGATGCTCTACCGACTGAGCTATCCGGGCTGCTATTTCCTTTTCGTTAAACGTGTTAGTTACTGTAGATACATATTTATCTTAATATAGAAAAATTTAATAATTTCTTTTTAATATAATTATTTACAAGTTAATATTAGATCATGAAACATAAAACTTTTACCAAGATAATTTATGACTATGGCAGTTTTTATTATTCCATATTAAATATAAATTTTGGAAATAATGCTGTAAGCCGAATTAAAACATTAAAATTCATTCAGGTAAAAAAAAATTTGGCGAATTAAAAAAAAAATTACATTACATTATTGTTTAATTACAACTTGCGAAGCTTGAAAAGGAGAAGAAATTTACACAAAAGAGACAATTTGTGATGCTTTAAGTGAACTATCTTTTCTTTTTGCAACATTTAATATATGTATATATATATTTTTTCTACAGTCACAACAAAAACAGATATGTTAATGTATGCACATGCACGAAAATTACCTTTTCCATTAAATAATTAAACGACTTATGTATACAACAACATACAAAAATATATATATATTGGAATGGACGTTTAAAAATATCAAAAACATATATATGCTTTTTAATATAAAAAGAACTTTCGGAAAACTTGCCGCCTCTGAAAAAATCTGTCTTCTCTATATAACACCATAAACGAGATATATTTATTATCGTATTGTCATAAATGCTTCAAGACTTTTGTTCCCATGGGTTTTATTCGTTCGATATCTTTATATCTTAGCCGCGATCAGCTCCGTTTTATTATCCTTAGTAATGAGTTGCAGGAGTGAACCGTTAGCAGGCCGATCTTGGTTTTGAGACCATTTCCAGAACAAACTATAGAAAGATAAATATTCTTTTATAATGGAACATACTCTAATTTGACGCAAGTAAACGTTTCATCTTACTTTGACACAAACTCGAGCGGAGTCCATGTGCTTGTATCAGCTTTAGGCATCCATTTCCTGTTCATTGGCGTATCTAAAGTAACTGGTAGTATGCAAGCTACCAAACTGTTGGAGGGAAGACCGCTATCTTTAGCTGCCAAAGATTTCGTCAACTGATGAACAGCTGCCTTTGCCATCCCATAGCCAATCATACCTAATCGAAACAGAAAATCGACTTTTTAGCAAATACAGAAAGGTGTATGATACGTATTTTATATTATCATCCATCAAAGAAACCTGGTGTTTCTCCTAGCGCTGGCTTAGCACCAGTCAAAGAAAGGAATCCCCCTTCCTTCAGGTATTCGGCCGCGACACTGGCCGCGATAATGGAACTCCAAACGCTTTGCTTCCACATCAGATCGCAGTTTTTCACGAGATCTTTATTCGCCGCATTACCACCAGCCCATCCCCCAGCCACGCAAATAATGCCATCGACTTTTTCGTCTTTCAATGTATCTTTAATTTGGTCCAAGATCTCCGTTTGCTATATAATAAGAAATTAATTAATGATCACCGTTCGGATACTTCATGATGAAAAACATAGGCGACAAAAAATTACCTGTTGCTGCCAATTATTGTCAGGATTTACAATCACATTTGCGTCTGCTTGCTCGTTTGGCTTCATGTCAATGGAACCAACCCACTAAAAATTATAATACAATATATACAATATAAACAAAATAAACATTTATAATTGTAAACCAAATATAACAATACGTATACTTAATACCGATAAACCGACAATATTATAAAATTTAATAATTTTATAAATAAACAATAATATAAACGGTAGTTTTATTAATGAGCTAATTAAAGTATATAATAGATATATTTGTGTTCCTTAAATATAAAACATGTAATTCAGCTAAATTTGTATATGTGATTTATCTAAATGTATGTACAGTAGTAGAGATAATTGCTTCTAGAAGGCTCTGTGAAAGGATATTTGTCTGACTATCAGTAACCTTGGTATACATAGTTTTTATGCAATATCCTTCAGACAACATCTACTGCATAAATACATATATAATATACATCTAAAGAAAAAATTCTCAAAAAATAATGATTTTGATTAAATTATAAATTACATATAATCACGTATTAAAATATACTTTTATTCATTATTAAATTAATATAGCCGCATGTAATATTTATTTATGTATTTATGCGTAAAAATTAAAAAAAAAACAATAAAATTGACAGAGGGCTACGTATATCGCGTATAATCTGAAATTGCTCCGTGAAATATTTAAGACCGCCGCTGAGCTTAATGAAACCGGGAAAATTGAAGAGGAAACAATTGCATTGCCACTCGGATCGAATCATATGGCACTCCCATGTACCGTTCAATATGGCATAACTAAATTCTGCGTAAATTGCATGCCGCAGAAAAACCGGCTTTCATTTTATTACAACAAATTCTATGGCTAGAAAGGCTGAAACAGATGAAAATGTCGATTTATGGGACGATCGGGCAAAAGTCACTGATAAATCGAACGATAAAAACTCGAGACTTATTCGAAGTTATCGTTCTACTTTTTCAACGTTTTAATTATTTGGTACATTTATACATATATTCTTTTGACATATTTGTTGTTAATATATGCCTTTTTACATGTTTATACAAATATTTTTCAATAGACCGGGACAGAGAACTCTAATCAGATTTTATGTGTTGATATACCGATATACTAAGGTCTGCCGATAAGACGGCCGCGCGATTAATCGAATCCGGATTACGTCGGGCGTGAGGGTAACGGCATTCGTGAGTCCCGCTTACTCACCCAATTTTGCGATTTGAATTGCGATACGCAGGCCGAGCCGAGGGCACCCTTGCCCCCGTACACAATCACACGTCCAAGTACCGCGGCCATTGTTCGATAAGTGATGCGATTTCGCGAGAGTTCCGAGTCCGGACTGTACGGAGTCCCGCGATCGCCAACGGAACGACACGAACGGCTCTCGGAAAGTTTCGCGAAGGGATCGCCACTGACGAGCGAATCGTCGGGTCTCGGCCATGGACTATATATTTCCGTGGATGGTCGTCCGAGCTCCGAGAGTTTCATTCCTACGGACGTCTGTATGCAGGTGATGCGGATCTCTCGGAACGAATTATTTCTAAAACATTTGTATGTAATAAAAAAAAACTTATGACTTTAATAACGTGTATTATTCAAATATATAGATTTATATTAACAATCACAAATTTCTATTGATAGTCGATAATATCGGCACTCTTCAATTTATATACCTTTTAGCCCATCGAGTCTCTTTTGACGGTCATGAAAATTTGCAGAATTTTTAATAGTGTCCCATCGGTGAGTCACACGGCCGAGAGGAAACCGCCCTTGAAGGAATCGCAGCAAGTTAATTTGTGTTGCATCTCCCCTCGGGGGGCGAAATTGGCGTCGGAGTCGCGCGCAGAAACTTGATCGCGGCAACGTCACGGCGGTCGCGCGACGGACCAATAGGCGGCGCCGGGGGCGCGCAACGTCCGCCGAAGTACCCGGTAGGTCGGTCTAGCGTGACGTCACGTTCGTCAGCCCTAGTTGGGTTAGGTTTTACGCTGGAAATTCTAACGACAAATTTTTTGTTTGACGATTGATGTTTTCCCCGTGCCGTGTCGAGCCGTGACCGAGCGACGCCGAGGTGTCCACGCAACGACGGTCGGCGGTTGTGTCTCGCAGAGCGCACGATCGCGAGGGGTTCGCGGTAGTTCGGCGTATATGAGAATTTTAAACGGAAAATGAGTCGACATGAAGGTACGTACGTGCTCGGACCGAGCGAGTCAGCCCGCGGGACGGTCGACCGCGCGGGGAATCGCGCGGTCCGCCGTCGCGGCGGGCGGTCTCCGGGCCACGTCGGGCACGCGGGGACATTCGCCGGGGGTGTCCGCGACGGTGTCCGCGGCACCGTCGGGCCGCGAGGGGCATCCCTTTTTCGACACGGGGGACGACACGTCCCCGCGAGCTCCGTGTGGCCGTGGGGGCCTAATGTCAGAGGCCAGATGGCAGCACACGGTGAAAATTCACGCAAATTTCTGCGGATTTGCGACGTTTTCCCCGTGGAAACCCCGGGAATCCGCGACGATTCGCGGCTCCCTCGCGCTCCGGCCTACCGCCCGATCCTCGGCCACCACGTCCCGTCAGCTGTCAGATCGTCCTACCCACCTCAGCTGACTGCCCTTTCCAACACGGTTTCTCCCAACCCGTTCCTCTTGATGATTGTCTTCCTTTCCTATAGAACATATTGCAGCCTTTTTCCTACGTTGTAGCGGTCCCTCTGCACGAGAATAATTGCGCGGACAGACAGAAAAAATTTTACGCCGCGACCCGTGCCCACGAACGAGCTTCTCCGCCGTCCTCTCGAGATCTCACAGCATCGCTGCTTAATGTGTGTCATAAAAATGACATTACGAGCTACACATCCTCAGCCGCTGGCCTTTGAGATTTTAATAAGTTGAATTAGGTTTTCGCGGCTATTTAGTAGCGACGTACAACACAGGAGAGAGTCTGTGTACTTCCTGAGTGGAATTTATATAAATTTTTTTTTGGAACACATGAAACTCGTTATGTTATATAATTGTCATGTCTGATATAAGAATGATTGATCGAGCTCAAGTGGCCACTTAAAAGTTCTAGTCTTTGCTGTAAATCGTGAGCTTCAAATATAATGTTTTATTATAAACTAAATGCGGTATCACATAGATTTTTTATATTCAACTAATAAATATGAATATATGTGACAAGTTTATATCTTGTTTTGTGAAATCGATTGGGTATTCTTTCGTATTTGCTATGCTCACAAGTAGTGTGTGTCCCTGGATTCTGATTTCCATTGTTGCAAGACAATGACTCGTATTTACTGCACATTGCTATTTATAGTCGTATAGTCATCTGACTTTGGATATATAGTAACAGTAATTCTTTATTGGCAAATAAAAACTATTCTTGGGTTTCTATATTGCAAATGTAATCATGGAATAAATTTGTTGAGAAAATACAATATAAGAAACATTATTTTAATTAATGCAGTGTTGTGCATTACTCAATGTTATGAAACCTAAGTTATTTAAAATTTATATAGGGATGTACACACACAGACTTTCTTCAAGTCATGATTTATTAATCACTTCATTAACTAATAAACATTCTTATTTTCTCTTAATTAGACTTCTGTCTTTCTCACATATATTCTCCGTTAATCTTTTTAAAAATTAATTTATATTTAAGGTGTAAGCAAAAATTGTAGTTAAAAGATAATAATTTTAAATTGATTTTAATATATTGAATGGTATATGTAATTCTTGATTTAATTTCTTTACTTTGTACATTAATTTTTATTTTAATATTTTAAATTATTTGATATTAGTTCTGTTAATAATTATCTTTTAGCTCTTTTTCAAAATTGAGAAATAATAAAATTGTACATAAGATTGGATGGACTAGGATTTCAATGTATTAAATTCTGATTTGCATTTATTTCATATATATAATAATTTCATTTATGATTTGATATATTATTGAAACATTATGCAGTTAAATAATGTTATTATATATAACTAACAAATAATAAATCTGAAAATAAAAGTTTTATTTTCTATTTTTTGGCTTATTATTATTTTTGCATGTGATAACACATTTAATAATATAAAATGATAAATGTATAAATAAATTGTAATATGACAAGTTTAAATAGTTTAAAATATTAAGAAATCTCTGAAATTTATAAGTATTGCGATATGTGACCATAAAATCTTCAAAATATTTTTGCTTAAAATCATTCAAATTATTTATATTAAACATTTTTGTTTTAGGGGTTAGCTGTGATTCCTGCTTGAAGGGAAATTTTCGGGGTCGTAGATACAAGTGCCTCGTATGCTACGATTATGATCTATGTGCCAGCTGCTACGAGGGAGGTGCCAGTACCACTCGCCACCTCACAGATCATCCTATGCAATGCATACTTACTAGATCTGACTTTGGTAAGATTTAAATTTAAAATGTAATGTGTATGTATATTTATTTTATTGATAATTTATTACATTGAATGTGTATAGAATATTTTAAATGTATTTTATATTTTTATATTTTTTAATTTTTACATCTGTTACAACAAGAATATATAAGAAGGAAGACATTTATTTCAAATGCCATACTTTTATACTTAATTATAAATGTCTAAAAATAATGAACTTTTTGCAAATTTAATTTTTAATTGATTAGATAAAATTCTTTCATGATTTAATAAAAATATTGTTAAAAATATTTTAATTAATTTTTGTTTTATATAAGAATTGTAAATACATATATTTACATATCACAAAGAAAGGAAATATATTTCAAAGCGATCGTAATTATATAATAAAATTAAATAATTTATAAATGAAAGAGGTTGATGAAAAAATGTGTTTAAATATTTGTTCTATTGTAAATTCTATTGTAAATTATTACCTTTTCAATAGAATTATACTATGGTGGCGAAGGTGTGAGTGTGGAACAGCCCCAATCCTTGACTTGTCCCTATTGTACAAAAATGGGCTTTACCGAGGCTACATTACAAGAACACGTTGCTGCTGATCATCCGGATACTTCATTTGAAGTTGTACGTATATTAAAAAAAAAAATAAAGCCCATCATGATTACATAATAAGTATAACTTGTATATTTTTGTCATAGGTTTGTCCAGTATGTGCAGCAGTGCCAGGTGGAGATCCTAACCATGTGACTGATGATTTCGCTGGCCATCTGACACTAGAGCATCGTAGTGGGCCAAGGGACCTGATCTCCTTTCTGGATGAACCGACTGCAAGTAGACACGGCGTTAGACGGATACCACATCCATCTAGAGCCGTTGGAGCGCCGCGTGGACGTAGGTATGTGCAAAATTGTGGATATCTATTGACCAATTTATTTACTTATCAATATTCAACATTGTTGTATTTTTTTATTCGAAATATTAATACTAATTGAAATACATTTTTTTATTATTATTGTATTTTATAAATGATTATGTCATTATAGTTTATAATGATTATATCTTATCTTTGTAAAGAATTTTTAATAAGATTATTAAATTTTAAATTATATTGTATATAAGATACAGATATCTTCTACATTCTTGAAAAAACAAGTTATCTCACAAATATGTTTGCTGATGTAGTAAATTGTAAACTGTAATTGCTTTTTTCTTATTATGAAAATTCGACAGATTGTCCATGATTAACTACAAAAAGTTCTTAATATCATCATTATCACTTCATCTTAGATAATGTTCATTAGAGTATCATTGGACCTGCAGGTCCAACATGCATTTCAGTTCATCCGGAGGATTGAGTCCAAGTAATCGCGAAGGTATAGATCCAATTGCGGAATTGCTGTCTCAATTGTCGGGAGTACGTAGAAGTGGAGGCGGAAGTGGGCAAAGTACATCAGCACCTACGCAACTACAGCAATTACAAATGCAACTGCAATTAGAACGACAACAAGTCCGGGTATAATTTATTTTTACCTTGAAAAAAGTATATTTTTTTTACAATTCTTATTGAGTTGTACTTAATCTCAGTGTCATATATGTTATTATGTCTGACGAACTTAAATTGAATCGTATTTGAATATTCATATTAGAATACATTATAATTTTGAGCTGTGTCTGTCTTTAATAATATTGAATATTTATTATGCATAAAAGCCTAAAGATGACTATAATAGATTATGAAACATTGAATTAATTGAAAATGATTTTGAATGTTCAGTTATGTCCAATTATAATATATAAATACGTACATATAATATGTCTGTGTGATCCGCAACATAACTTGAAATTAATCTCATACCGATACATGACACTAATTACACATTCAATTGTTCTAACAGTTTAACTCTTTTGTTATCTCGTTTTTCTTTCTCTTTCGTTTAATAATGAATATATAGAGACCGTTTATTTAGGTGATACGACGTTATAACTGATAATGCAAGAGTAAATATAAATAAGTAAACATAATAGGACATTAGAAGGACAAATAAAATAAGGAAAATAATGAAGTATTAGGAAAGAAAAAGAATATATAAATCTTCAAAAATTTCGATTTAGTTAGCTATTGACGTAGAGTTGTTGACTTAATATTAGTTAAATTGTTGAATTATTAATTTGCTGATTTTAATCTAAACGAGATTGAGAAACATCTGGAAAATGATAATGATAAACGGTGCTAAAGTAAGCTAATAATTTATTAATTTTGACTTTGCAGCAGAATGTACTATTGACATGATACATGCGATAAATTTTATGTATTAATATTTAACATTATTTCTACATGTTGATAATTATTCCTTTTCATACACTTTTATTAGTAATTTTTGAATTGTTTAAATGATTATTATTTCAATAGCCGTGCGATTTTTGTAAAAAAAGATTGGGCAAGTGACTAGTTTACTTTTTGTTCTCAACCAGCTCTAGTCATTTCTTGTAGCAAAAGGATTAATCATTTTTTTTTTACATATGTTAAGCAATATGATTAAAATAAAATGTTCTTTTAGGCTGCTAGGCAACAACTTGAACGATTACCCAGAAGGCAAACGCAAGTGATCGGTTCTGTAAGCGGTGGCAGCGGGGGTGGCAGCGGGGGTGGCGGCGGTCATACTACTACTATGGGGACAACGAACAGTACGAGTAGTAATAATAACGCGACCAATGCGGCCAACCCGTCCGGTGTGTCTTCTACTAATTCACAGAATAATATGTCCCTGTTACCCAGGTATGTATTTCTCTTTTAGGTTTTTTAAGTTAACGATATCTATCTCAAAGTTGCAGATACGAAATATTGTTTACATAATTTATTGATATTAAGTCTTATTAAATGAATAGTTTAGCTAATTTCAAGTGCATTTTGCTAAGGTACAATATTAATTTGAATTTTTCACGTATATTTAAGAAAAATTATGCGATATACAAGTGACAATACTAATCAGTCAAGCTTACGTTCTAATGAAAAGAATTTTTAGTTTTTTTTTTCAACCTACGTACTAAATGTTCAAGATAGCATGTTGTAAATAGTTGCCAAAAACTGTATTATAAATATCTACATATCTATTTCGGGCAACACTGATATGCATGATTTATCATATATCGACATGTGATATTTATAATTGAAAAATATACATATACCCATGTGCAAACACAGAGAAATTAACGTACACGTTTATTGTAATCGCATGAATGAGACGATGAGAACGAGAATATTGTAATGTTTCATTATTTAATTTGGTAAACGCAATTGTCCGTTTTGACATTTGTGCAGATGCATCATAACCACGCCGTCTGACTCACAACTGCAAAGTATTGAACGCGAGAGTGCAAACAGGAGCCTTTTTGCACGTGAACTTATCGTCGGGACGCTTTCTCAAACATTGTCAGAATTGATGCAGCAGCAATGCGCTGTGCAAACACCGGCGTCGACTGCGACTACTGCCACGACCAGTCCTGAAACACCAAACGCCAATACTTCCATTGTCTCTACGAAGAAATTGGGAGTGACTCAGGAAGCGAAGAGGGAACAAGCGACAAGTAAACACGTGACATCACAGGCATCTATGCAACAAAAAGAATCGCATATTCTGCAGGCTGCTGCTGCTACTGCTGCTACTACTACTGGCAGCGTAGGTTCAGGTCTGCAAAATCAGGGCTTAGCCTCGAATCCTAGTAGCATTGCAACGCAAAATCCACCTATAGTTCAAACATTGATGCATAGTGTATTACCTCAGCCATTGGTAAGCATCTATTTTTCTAGCAAATAATATATGTTGAATACTTAACAAATTAAGCATAATTATAATAATAGAGATACAACAGAGATTGAAAGTAATATATGATATATTTGGAACTCGATGTAGCAATATCTAGCAGCTATCTTTCCCGTACACATTACACTCGTCTAATTTTACTATGCACTATGCATAATACTTATGTCAATGTTATTTTAAGACGCGCTATATCTAGTTCCAGACAAGGATATTGTCAAACGACGATTGATATACGGTGGAAAATCGAAATAGTCCTCATAGAATTTCGTGTGACTTAGGTACTGCAGCAACCACTGCCGCCACCAATTAGGAATACTGGTACCGGAACTATCAGGGAACCGATAGCAGCTCCGGCGCCTGCTTACCTCAGAGGTGGAGTTGGCTCGGTCGGAGTGACAGGCTCTTCGCGTAGGAAGCCGGTTAGGGCAGTAGATGGCAGAAACCAATCTACGGAACCGCCACCCCCACACTAACCCCTCCTTAGCCCGTGTGTACCCATCCTCCACCCTGATTCCTCACACAGGATCCCCTAGCACTAGTCCTAGCACTGTTTAGAACACCTCATCATTATTGTTATTATTATAATATTATATATTAATAATTATTCGAAACGCCCTCTCCTTTCCTTCTTCCTCCTCCTTCTCATCCTCTTCATCCTCGTCCTCATCCTTTTGTGCCCTAATGCTATTACAACTCTCCCGAACTTTAATCTCGCCATTTTTGCTGTTACGTGACATGGAACAAGGGCAAGGGCTGATTCGCTAGCCGCTGCGGCATATTTGCGAATAATAATGTACATAACTCACACTTCTTGCAGTCATGCTCGAAATATATAGAGTTCGTTCGCGTGTACTACTCTTCTTTGAATGAGTCTTGCCACGTTCTTCCACGCTGACACGTGCTACCACGATACGGCGTTACCTTTTATCCGCTGGAGAGCAGGTGTTTGCGAACCAACAAAAATGTATTGTAAAAAAAAAAAGAAATTCCTACGAAGGCAAAGCGACATTGGCGTTTATTGTTCGATTATTAGAGGTATCGAAGAATAGTGCGAACTGGCAAGGGGATTAATCGGATATTTGGATCAATCTATTGATGTAAGAATTCAGCAATATAGAGATATATCTTGTGATCCAATGATGGTGATGTGTACGCGAATATAACTTTTTTCATATTGCATTTTGTGTATGTTATACACGTTTACCGCCATAACATAAAATGCGAGTGATTTCATTGGTCTACATACCCGGTGCAAATCGAACAATCCGCCGCTAATGTGCTATGTGTTTGAAAACGATACGCCTCCCCCTTTTTCAGATAAAAATACACGAATGCAAAATCATGCCTGGGCTGGTCCGTAATACTAACGCTTTTAAATTGCTTTAACCTACAGATAACTTCTCCGGCGCACTAATAGTGGAAAAAAAATGATACACAAAACGATTGTAGGGACGAATGTCACGAATGGTATAACAATGCAGAGCAACGTTACTGCATATTTTTCAGATGACTACTTAGGTTAATAATTCTCGTTATAATAGACTCCTGTATGCTTTACAATCAATAAATCATTGGTATAATGTACAAAAGAAAAATCATTTACAATTATCATTCGTAGTCTACATGAACTTCCTTTATCTTTTAATTCATTTAAGTAGAGTTCTCTCGCCGTGACATTTTGCATACGCTAAATAGAAGAACAGTTCACGAGAAGAAAGGACAGACATGTGTTGAGAATAAATTTTATATATTAGACTCTCTTAGATGTTTAATTGAATTCGATTTGATTTAGCAAAAGTCGGTACTAGCGGACCATCCCTTGGCATATGTACACATGGCATAAAAAGATGATGTCGTAAAGTGGAGAGATTATATTTAGATATTATAAATTATTTTTGTTTTTTAAATTAATAATTCAAAATATGTCGTCTTTGCGACTAATTAATATATGTAATTTAATGTTTCATTAATATTTAAATACTGTTCGTCAGATTATTATAATTTCCGGATTATTGTATATTGTATGTAACATTTTACATTTAGATGTACGATTTGACACACAGAGTTGAGGAATAAAGTTTCTTTTAAAATTAAAATCACTCCATTTTAAGACAATAAACAATTATATTGAAAACATGTTTTCTATCATACTTGGATCTATATATACATACATGTTTGAAAAGTATAAAGAGTAAAAAAATTTTTTATATCGTGATTCGGTAATGAAAAAAAGTCTTTACATTTTTCTTTGCAAAATGAGACAAGTCTTTCAAATATACCTAATGTTTTTTCAATAGAGATATATTTGTTTATTTCTTCTATAAAATATATACGAATATATATGAAGGTAACATCGGTAACATTGTATCGGAGTGTGCGTACAATGTATGCGAATGCATCTGCGCAAGGTTTCTACCGAGAGAAAGTAGAAAATTTCAAAGATGCTCGTGTACATTTTGTATAAGCGTTATCTGCTTTTCTTGTTTCTTTTCTTCGAGTACTTATATTTTCTCCCCTCTATTTTTTTTTGCATGCTACTGTCGTATATGTAATCTCTCTTGCCCTGTCATCAGTGTTCGTGATCCAAATTGTCTTTCACCTAAGATCCCGTGTAAGCGTCTATCTGCAAGATGTGGTGGCTCTGCAAACCCTGCGGCGTTTTACGAAGTGCGCAAGAATGATATATACACGCTGTGTAGATCCATGAGAAAAAAAAAACAGAAGAATTAAAATACTTAGTGTGCGAATCTATGATAGAGTATGAATTTTTCAGGGCTTGACCATCTTATTTTTTCTGTGCGCAAGATCGAGAAACTAAAATTAAGTTTTAAAAGATAGAAAACAGATTGTAAAGGAAGTCTGTTTAACTTTTAATTGCCGTTTCTCCGACATATGTATATTTTGAACTTGAACGAGTGTTTTGTTTTCGAATAAGCTATTCTCGCGCGATCTTGTACTTTGTATTGTGTAATTAGTTGCAATTTACGAAGAAATAGATCCGAAACGGGGTGCACTTAATTGCCTTAATGCAGAATGCCTGAAAAATTTAATGGGAGGAATCGACAGCCCTCTTTGAGCAGCGGATGTGCCTGCATTGCGAAAGTCTTTGCGCATGATGCTCCGTGATGAAGTTAATACTGTACTGAGCTAATCTTAATAAACGTATGCGTATGTAAAATTATCAAATTGCGGATATTTGAGCGAATTTATTGCACCGTTATACATTATGGAACCGACTCAACGATTCACGCCTAATCCGGGAGTTTGTGTTTAGGAACGAAGCAAGACTCTAATCAAAATAAGTCTATTCGATATTTTTTTCTCGAATTTTTCTCGATTTCTATAAATCATCGGTAATTCTGTGCGTAAACTATCGGAACTGCATTTTTCTCCGAGTTCAAGTCCACACGTGCAATTTTCTTTTTATCATTCGCGAAAAATGACATTTCCCTTGTTTCCACGTCACTATCTCGTATCAAATTTCCCTCTTTATTTTCATTCCAGGTATCTGTACTTGTTACTCGCGGCGCAATATGCCATATTATTAAATGCGAGATAATTTTTTAAAAATTCTATAAGATAAACTTTTTCAAATCAAAAATTATATCAGCCCTTTCAAATTATCGTCGAACGAGACGCGATTTGTGAATTGATTTTAGAATTTCATTTGTAGATTGTGATGCGAACTATGTAAGGGAAAGAATTCAGGATTTGACCGGTTGCAAGTAAATATTTCGCGATGTAATTACAAATGCATCCCGATGTTTCTGCTCGCTTCTGATTCGCAATAACATCGTACTGTATTTTTCCAAAGGAAGACAGCGTATCGCAAAGGAAGGATTTCCCTTCCTCATTTTATTTTCCATTGGACAAGATCGCCTCCTTTTTCCCATGAATAATGTTTCGATTTGTATTTACATTTTACGTACTGTTGTCTATCATATAAGAATTATATAAATAAATAAATAAATAAATACATATATATAGATAGATATATATATATATATATAGATAGAGATGCACAGAGAAAGAGAGAGACACGTGTTTATATACGTGCCAGCATACCGTTTCTTCTGAATACGTATCACGTAATGAATTGTGTTTGCGCACGTGGTGAAGCAAATCTAAAATAACGAGCAGCCATAGGTGATAAAAGATATGTGATGAGAACTAAAAAGAAGCAATGGAAGATAGAGCTTAAAAAGCGGACACACACTCGGCAGAAAAGTGGATTCTGTTAAATCTCTAATAATTTAACTCTGATTGTAGTACGCTCTTATTACCGTATCGTTTCTTAACGTTAATCGATCATTAATCTAATAATCTTAAGGCTTGTCTAGATTCGCGGCCCAACGTGATGCGATCCGATTGTAATATATTAGATAGTTATCGATAATTTTAAAACGGAAGGAATGTCGTCGTAGCGCGTGTGTGTCGAGTAGAGATCAAGTGTGAAGTTAAATATTGCTCTCGTTCGCAACAATTATGTACTCTAAAGACATAAGGACGTTTATTTTCACGTGCGTACGCGTCCTCTTCATTAAAATCATTTGTTTAACATTATCCACGTTGTCGTATAGTCGTTGCACGTATTTCTGTTTCTCCGAATGCAAGAAGACGCGCCCAAGTAGCAAGCTGATATATTACTTGTCGTCATTTTGACGACTTTGGACGTCAATTTGATGAAAAATTACAGTAAAGTGACGACAAATGACATCAGCTTGCTATCTGGGCAATCACCTTCCTCACGTTTTTTATTTTGTCTTCTTTACATTGAGATGATTTCGCGGACATCATGCTCGTTTGACTATGATGACTCTTTACGAACTTTAAAGAATATTACGACATGCCTGTACGAAATGTCGAGAGCCAGAAGTATAATGTACATAGAATATATAAACGAAGTAATTTTTTGCGTGAACGATCGCGTGTAAAAAACGATAGCGATGCGATCGCCTACCCGAAGAGAGGATCGTAGATCCATCGTCGTGGACCGCGATGCGAATAAATCGTTGCAATGCGACAACTGGGTATCGCTCCTTTTATAAACGGAAGAACAGGGAACGAATTTTGCGAAGAGAATATCCGAGTCTTTTCGTTCGTAGCTGTAAATTTTATCCCGTTTAAAGCGGTCTCGTTCGGCTTCAAGCGTAGAAGGTGTAACGAAGCGTAATTGTATAGAAGACAGGCTTATCCGTTTTCAGCCGGACAGGCTCGTGATCAAGAGCGAGACACTTGGACACGAACTACATGTACGGAATTCTGGAGTTCTTTGAAACCTTTCGAAACTTTCACTCTCGTAGATTTTCCTTAAATCTTCACATTAGAGGTTTTTTCATTGTGTCTCGTACTATCTATTTCGCTGTAATTCGTGTCATGAATCGGAATTCTAAATATAAATATCTATAATAAAAGTATCTGACAAAAAGCGTCGACTTTTACAATAATAATTCAGGAATTCTCGTTCACGATTTGGTCCCGCTGTTGATCGATTGAAATTAAGTTGCCGAGATTGATGTGATTTCGTCGAGTTCGATTTCTGACTGTGTGGAAAGAGATTTTTAGCAGAACTATTACATCTCGAAAAATATAAGAGAGAGAGAAAGACTTGTGAAAATCTGAACTCAAGAAATTATGTCGATTTCAATCCTGATTAAAAAGCATACAGTGCAGTTAAGGATTTTTCGATTAATTTTAATAGCGTGTTTCTCCTCACGAGCCGTATAGTCAAAATAAAGCAAAGAGAGAAAGAGTCAAGCGATGATAAAGGAAGAATCTTAGAAGCTATAAAGAAGCCGTATATAGTAAATGTATAAATGATAAGAAGTTTGCCATTGCGCTGCTCTTCTGAAGAAACAGGGTGCGATGATATACAAAGGAATAAAAAAAAATCTCAGACGAATCCTCACCCCCGGAGAAGTCTTTTCCTCCAATATACAAAGCACAACAGAAGACATTTGTGACAGGCGTTCTAGTTGCAAGGTAATTGTGCGATAGATAACGATGGTGTTAATTAGAATTTGCACGTTTTGTCGCACCTATGCAGACACACATCTTTCACGCGGCGCCTGACACTCGACTCAGTTCGATGACGCCGGACGAAACTTAATTTTGTAGACAAGAGGAAAGTGAAACTGATCACGCCATTACTCGGGGAAGAAGCTTAATTAAGCGGGCGACGGAAGTAAATTCGTCATAATCACCGCCGAGTTCTAGAGTCGTCGGTTAAAGCGGCGAACTTCTTCGCACGTCGAGAGCCCGTAAAAAGCTTTTTCTTCGGACGCAATCTTCGATCAGGAAGATAGAAGTCTCGGAGGAGTACCAAAAGCGACGTTTCGCTAAGGAACTCACACACTTATTGAGAGTGATAATCGTCGTAATCGCGCGAATTTGTCGCAAGCTGAGGGAATTCTTCGCGGATTTTTACCTGACTTTTCGATCGACGACGCTACGCGAACGTACATAGGTACATACGAATGCGCGAAAGTGAGAGAGAGTGTGTGAATGAGCGAGAGAAAGAGGAAAAGAGAGGATGCGTTGATAAACCGGGGAGCTGTCGCGCGTTGACGGCGGCGCTCCCTGAAGTAGCGGAAAGCTATTCGACGAGCATTACTGCTAAGTACCAATAATAGGGATGAGAAAATCCAAATGAAGTCTTATACATAATGATTGTCGAGATGTAAATTGTGTTTGGTTGTGTATCTTGTGTTATACGCCTCTGACGCTGAATATAATGGAAATTCAATCAAAGACCGGTCTGCTGGCTCATCCTCTCCCTGCTAGAAATTGAGATAGTTTTCAATCCAGAATATTTTTCGTTCCGACAAAAATGTGAAATCAACGCATATTTTAATTTTTATCACTTCTTCCAGCATTTTCATTATTGTATTACTGTCGTGTTATTTATTTTCCATATCGCTCTGTTAAGCCGGGAATATATAGTCACCTGAGATTTTTATATCCCTCCCTTCGCCTAAGCAATAAAAAAATGAAGCAGAATTTTCTCACAAATTTCTTTACAGATCGACAAGTTATACTTATATTTTTTTTAATATTCAATATTTTCAAATCTTTTCCGAACATCCCGCGCTTCTCGGCATGCACATGCGTGATACGTTTCACATCTTTTCGTAATAGATATGCATGCGTATGTATGTACATACATATATGCAAAGGTACACACATATATATAATATACACGTGGCAGCAGAAATGTAGCTACGTCGATATATTGCCTACTCATAATATGTACGTCACATTTAAGTATTTCACATCAATTAATTTGGATATCAATACCGACAAATTTGATTATCGTTTAAAATTGTATTTTATATACGTATTCGCTGCGCATATATACGGCTCCACACATATGCATATCACGTTGCTTCAAGATAATGAAGATAATTTATAGATTATTTGTTAGATGATCTCAGATAACCTTATATATGGTATACGTTTTATACACGCTCATGATCCGACATGATCCATTCGCTTGTTCGAATAGTCAGATCGCTGCACAGTGTTCCGAGAAATTCACGGAGAATGGATTCGCTTGAGAACGCCAAGAAAATTGCGGCTTACAAAGCCGTGAACGAGTACGTCCTGGTAAGTTACTTTATCTAACAGTGAAATCAGTGCGACTGATCGTACAGCTTTTTCTGTGTTGAAGGTTATATATTAACACGTTCCGGCGAATTGTCTTTCAGAATAACACTGCCATCGGGATTGGCAGCGGATCCACTATAGTTTACGCTGTTCAGAGACTTGGTAATAGCGATACTTAATTATTTATAATTATGTTATGTAATCGAAAAGGATTTCATTAAAGATTTCGTATTTTAAACATTGCAATTTACATCAGTTATTTCATCAGCTATTCGATATTTTCATATTTTTTTAAAATAAAATTATAAAGGCATTCCTATTACGTTTTTATATCAGATTTTCTGTATGCAAATGCATCTATTAAAAGACCATAGAAAAAACTTGACTTTTTTGCAATATATAAATTCAATTACTGTTGCACAGTGTACAACACGTGCAGTTCACATTGCTAATGTAGAAAATTGTTTTCTTGATTCAATTTAAAATTTTTTTACGTTTTGAAAGATATTTTATGTAGTACGTTATGCATTATTCTTTAAATATTTTGATAAATCGTACATATATATAGAGTACCAGATTTTGAGATTTAATCTTCTGTACCTAATATGTATATATATATCAGTATATATTTTTGATCTCATTATTTAACCATTAAAAAAATTTTCATTTATTAAAATAAAAATATTTTATCTTTTAAGCTTCAAAAAATGCTTCTTTGTCATATAATATTAAAGTAATATGTAATAAAGTATAAAAAAATATATATGTAGGTATATATATATATATATATATATACCAGATACTGTTTTCAAAAATTGAACTTCTTGCAATTTACAGAAATGTAGTCTCTTAGAAATATTTTGTTTTTAGCCGAACGTGTTAAAAAAGAAGGTCTCAATGTAATCTGCATTCCTACATCGTTTCAAGCTCGTCAACTTATACTAGATAATCATCTTAACTTAGGTGACTTGGAAACTAATCCACAGGTAATTTTTAACCACTCTTTTTCTATATTATATGTATTCTATATTATATGTATTATATTGCTTATTATATGTTTTTATGGACAGCTGGATTGTGCAATTGATGGAGCAGATGAAGTTGACAAAGACCTGAACCTCATCAAAGGTGGTGGAGGATGTTTGTTACAAGAAAAAATTGTTGCCTCTTGTACCAATAAATTTGTTATCATAGCAGACTATACGTAAGTATTGTCTATTGATGCATCTAGTAATATTGATCCTGTTAGAACTGATTTACAATTGTACATTAACAATTAGCAAAGCCTATGAGAAATTATATGATACGCTTTCTCTCTATATTTCTCTTTAAATTTCAGAAAAAACTCAGTGAAACTTGGCGAACGGTACAAAAAGGGAATTCCTATTGAAGTGATTCCTATGGCGTATGTGCCAATTACACGTAAAATTGAAGCTGAATATGGAGGAATGGTACAAATCAGAATGGCTGTCGCTAAAGCTGTAAATATATGATTTGGATTATTTGGATTCAATTACCATCAAATCGAACAAAAACTTTAAATAGCAATAATTATTATGTTATAATTTATACGTTATTTGCGCAGGGTCCGGTAATAACAGATAATGGTAATTTTATTCTGGATTGGCATTTTCCTGATGATTTAAAATATTTGAAGAGGATTAATACCGAAATATCCCTGATACCTGGAGTTGTAGAAACTGGTCTATTCACAAATATGGCCAAGAAAGTTTTCTTTGGTATGCCGGATGGCAGTGTAAAGGAACGAAGCATAGTTAGTTTCGATTGAAACATTGAATGTTGCGAATTACATTTTATCATCGTTGAGCAACTGTTTAAGTAACCTACTAGATAATGCTGTCAGATCAAGATTCTCGATAACTTTTCTTGTAACCTTGCCTTTCATTTTGCTGTAATCATTCATCATGTGTTTAATCATTGCTGATCATTGCTATTTTTAATACATTTTTTTATACTCCTGTTTGCTACGTATATACATATCAGGTTTGTATTTTCTTTATTACTATTACGTAAATTTGTAATTATTTTTAGCTAGAGATGCATATTTTATATTTTAGAAACAAATTACACAATCCTAAAAATATATTTTGTAACTATAAATAAGAAAATTTTTTTACATGTGTGTACAATATAAAATGTATCTCGAAGTACAAAGTTATACAGCCATAAAAAAGCTCAAAATATATATATTTTTATACAATATTATTTGTATTTGATTTCATACATTTCCTTTCTAAAAAAAGCATGTTAAATGTATAATCATATATATCAAAGTTTGATGCCTCTTTTCTGTGATACTAATTTGTTCGCTACACTTTATGACCGATTGTTATTGCATGTTTTGATAGATGTGTATTAAAGTTAATAGCAAAGTGTAGTAGCAAATATAGAGACAAGTAAAAAATATTAAATAGTGCAAGCGAAGCGCGCGTCTAATGCTGGTACAGATCAAAAATAAAAATAATTGTAAATATAAATAAAAATGTCATATAAAATATTTTATTTAGATGTTAATTTAAACAATATTTTTTATATTATTTGTGTGCATATAATTTTTCGAGTCTCTAATATTGAACAAATAAGAATTTGAAGTATATTAACTGTGTATTTAACATTTATATAATTTCGAAAAAATTTATAAATCTAAAAAAAAATTTCGATGTAGCTGTATTTGCTAAATTATTATTAGTATTGAAAATATTTATATGATTAAAAGATTTGATTTCGTATTAAAAATGACAAAAAAAACCGCCCGAACAGGGACTCGAACCCTGGACCCTCAGATTAAAAGTCTGATGCTCTACCGACTGAGCTATCCGGGCGATTGGTAGTTGTAAGGATTAATATTGTACTGTATCTTGACCGTCACTTTATGTATATATGCAAATATAAATATATGTACATTGGAATATAATAATTTAATATTGTATTAAATAAAATCTGTAAATTTAGCAATAAAATATATAATAGAAAGATTTGATAATATGAATAATACAGATAATATGAGATGTCCTATTTGTTTTTTTAATTTATAAAACAATTGAATTTATTTTATAAAAAATAAATTCTTTTTATTTTTAAAATTGTGCAATTGTTACTAAAATTTGGAACTTTATATTTAATTTTTAATGGCCAAAAAAAGAATTTAAAGAATTATAAATTTAAAAAATTAACATACACATTGTGTTTAAAGAAATTCTTACACATGTTTAAAGAAATTAAGATTTAATTAGATAAAAACTTATACTTAAAGACTTTTTATAAGCAATTTAGTATTGCCAATGAATGCTTTTGAAAATCAATGTATCGAATCAATGTTTCATATAAAATGTGAACTACTATAAACATATCTATTTTCTTTTATGTAAAAGGCAGATATATATTTTGCATACGGCACATCTCTTATTCATAAGTGAACTATCATCCTGCAGTAGCTATAAGTATTGCGATTTACTGTCTTGCGTCGTTAATTTAGCCGCAGCGTTTATATCTGTCGTAAAATTAAAAAGCGTCTTTATTTAAACAGACTGGTGATTTTATTACATCGTTTATCATTCAACGTTTATAATCACAATAATTATGAAGATATATATATTTTCCAATAAAAGAAGCATTTTGTAATAATTTAGAATTTAAAATATATATTTAGTAATATCTTTAATACATCTCTGCAGTTAATAGTATATGATGCAGTAAATTTTGCCTTTACAGAGAGCATGGAAAAAAATGCGAAAAATTCGATTGTGCACTTTCTTATTTTTTAACTGCCAAAATAATAATTGCAATATTTTTAGTTCAATAAGTGGTAAAATACTCCTAAATTCTCATTAGAAATCATTAGAATTATAAATTTGATTTTTTGATCATTCAAATTTAAAGATCTCATTAATTTTAAATTTCGTTAATTGTAAAAAAAACTTTAAACTTTCAGTATTTCGGTTTCTATAAAAGATTTCAGCGTTTCTTCGATCGATATAGAGAAAGATGTTAGTTGTTTATATTACTAAAATACATTAAATTTAATTATTTATTAATTGCCTTGGCAGTTTAATTGTAATATTATCTACTGTATAATTTGAAGCTGCGTTTTAAAGACTGACAATTATGCGGTGCGCAGTTCGTCTTGTACTGATAAATTGTAAGATTCATATATATTCAAAATATTGTAGCGCTGAAATCTTTTATAGAAACCAAAATACTAAAAGTTTAAAGTTTTTTTTACAATTAGCGAAATTTAAAAATATTGTTAGATACGAAGATCCATTTCATACGGTATTGGCATTTTTCTCACCTTGTTTAAAAAAATACATTAAATTTAATTGTATTTTTTTCAAGTGTCTATTAACAGCTTTTCTAGCGATCTTATCGAAAATTTTGTCGGCGGTCTTAATCGAATAGAAAAGAGGGAAGAAAAACGCAAACAGCCACTGGCCAGGTTGAATCAAGTTGAACGACCTAATCAACTCAGCGGGTTCTGATGTGAAAATGGTGTAAGTACTTAACTCCGGCTGTTTTTCCTACGATTTTTACACGGAGACTCTTATCGGCCAACCCGCTATACTTCGCCTCCTGACATTTAATCGACACTAATCCTCATTTCCGATACTCTGATCGCTTTCAACTTCTCTTTGCATAGTCTCTCGATCGTTTGTTATGTGTAAGTACGCGATAAATCATGCTCACGTAGAGCGCTAGAAGGAGGTATGTATTTGCCTCATCTTTCACGCGTATACACTGAAAAGCGAAGCATTTATTTTTATTATTTGTCGTACTATTGTGCAACGTCTGCTTTATCTTTAATTTGCACCTACTATTTGCTAAACGTTTCATTCGTACAATTTCACATGACTGTTCAAATTTATACACATCATCTAACAATAAGAGTTATTAAGCTTCCCTATAATTATTTCAATTTCTGCTCAAAAAGTCTAATTATACCTCCATTGCGCTTGTTGTCAGAATAGGTTATTATTGTATTTTATCAAACACTCGCAATGAAAATTTGCTATGCAAAGCATATAGAGATTAAATTAAAATTAACATCGGATAAAATAAAAGACAGAAAACAATTTCAGGAAAAATAGTATTAATTTCAACAATATAGAATTTCGTGTGTAGCAATGCGATTTTTGAACAATCGAAATTAGATGATATTTCTAGATACCCTCCTCCCACGTACTGGACACAACGCAATCTGTATATGTATATATATTGAACACGTGAATTTTTATTTCGTACGTGCTTTTGAAGTGTGATTAAAATTTCTACAAACTACGCTACAATTTTTACGTGAAAAAATATCAATTAAATTGTCATTGTATTGGATATCGTGTATCGGAATCGTTTTGAAATCTATAACCAATTAGTACAATATCGTAACGAAGTGCGAGTACGAGAATTCTCTCGCGGGCGGTACCTACGCAATAAAATAGTTGGGATGCGTTGCTACGTCAATATGCCGTTGAGATCTCACCGTTAAACCCCGTGACCTATGACAACTTATGATCCGTGGATCTTAAGGGACAACATGAATTATTAGACCTGCATAAGATGCATACCCCGCGAGCGGTCACGAAATCGGAGTTCGGCTATAATCTATAGCGAGCAGTTATGCTAAAGTTAGAGCGTTATGCAAACGTGTCTCTTGACGAAGAAATAATTTTGATAATATTGATATCTTCCAGAAATAAATTTTATTGCCTTTTTATGTGAAAAAGTATAAATATTTAAAAAATATTCTAGATAAGGAGATGAAACTTTTATAATTAAATGGCTGATGACTTACACAATTGAATTCAAATATTTTAAAATTATAAAAAAAATTTAAATTAGTTGTGAATTAAATTCGTAGCGGTAACAGATAGAATAAAAGAGAAAGAGAGGGAAGGAGAGAGAGAGAGAGAGAGAGAGAGAGAAAGAGGTAAAGAAATTGCCATTAGACGCTTTGAGACAATCTATGATAAATTGAGAAGAAGAGAGAGCAGTTTAGTTTGATAATTATAAAACTATTATTGATACAACGGTTATTAATAAATTATGTATACTATCTCATCTTTTTATTAAAAGTGAAAATGAGCAAAATAAAAATTCCGATCGCTCAACCTACGCAGAGTGTTTCCTGTTTGTAATTCCGTCTAATCAGATTTAATAATAAAGTAAAAAGAGTTATCTCGGAAGGGTTAAACCGGATGTATGTAAACCGTAAGTCGCCCACGAAATCGTAGCTCTGAAACGTGTGTCCTCAGTGAGGAAGGGTTTTTTGAGGTGTGAAATACGATCGTCGCCCGTGCCCTTGCGGTCATGCGTTCTCCAGGCGCCTGCATCCACCCCGCGGTACTTACCCACAACGGAGGGGATTGGCGGGGATTGTATTTGAAGCGCGACCGCGCGATTTCACCCGTCAAACGAGAGGAAGAAGCCACGGCTTCAACCGCGCGCGGCTTTATCCTTTGGCATACGAATCGCGTATCCCGTATCGATAAGTTGATCGAGAACGTAATTTCGTATTGAAGAGGTGCCGCTTCGAGGGTGCGTCTTGAAGAAATCGAAGATTCTGCAAACCGTTCGAAAAGATCACGATATGAAGGTTGGTGTATTCCATTTCTTTTTTTGGTAACAATTTTATGAAGTAGATAGAAACTCTATAGAACTGATTTAAAATGTGTATTCAATGATCGATTTGATCTGACATATATCACTACTTCCGAAATTTCAATACTATATTTTTTTAATACATTTAATATAGACATTTTAATCACACTTCGAAAGCATGTACGAAATAAAAATTCACGTGTACAATACATACAGATTGCGTCGAGATACGTGGAAAAAGGATGTCTAGAAATATCATCTAATTTCGATCTTCAAATTATTTCAAAATCGCATTGCTACACGAAATTTTATATTGTTAAAATTAATACTATTTTTTCTGGAATTGTTTTCTGTCTTTGATTTTATCCAATATTAATTTCAATTTAATCTCTGTGCTTTGCACAGCAAGTTTTCATTGATACATGCCATATGTTTTCTCAAAAGTATTTTAAGTTAAACATCACAATACTTAATTTAACAGATATTTATAATGATTTATAAAGAATATTGCAAAGTACTTTATTACGTATATTTGTTGAGAGTAAAATCTTTTTTTATTATAAAATTAATAATTTAAAAAAAATTCTTATGATGAAAAATTCATCAACTATAAAAACGTTTCATTGGATGCTGTGTATGATTTACATCGCGCATTTATAAGATAACCTGAGATTTTACTAGACTAGAACATAATTCCACATTTTGCATACTGTAATTTTTTTATGATTGCTATTAGCTATTATTATGTATGTATGTAGATATACATATATACATATGTATACATACACTAAATTTAAATACTTAAAACTTATATTAATACTTATTAATGATAAGCAATGTTATAGCAAAATAGTATTATATAAGCATTTATCAATTTTAATATTAATCAATAAATTTTAAATAAAAACATAATATAAATAATTTTAATAAAGTAATAAGAAGTTGTCTTTTCATGTGAATCGACTATTCATTCAGACCACAATTATTCATTTTAATAATATGTTATAATATAATAATCCAAATGTGAATTAAATGTTAAATTTGTATATAAATAGCACGACTTTATCTTTCATATAAATTAAAGAAAGTTCTATTTTAATAAAAAGTTTATTTCTGGTTCATCTAACATTTAAAATAATGGCATAATTCTCTTTAAAAAAACTTATATGAAGAAAATCACGACTTGAAATAACACTTGATTTACAAAAATATGCAAATATTGGAATTAAATATACGAACGTAGTGTACGATAATAAAAAAATATTTAACGTACGGATGCCAATGCTTCCAATATGAAATATCAAATGTTACCGATCGTTTTTATGAAAACATTCGCATATTAAATATGTGATGATATAAGTCTTGTTTTTTCACCCTCATATTATGCAAACATATTATCCAATTGTAATTTTCTGGAAAGCATACGTACTACATTAAAGGAATGTTGATTATACATGCGAAACCATTATCGATCATCTCCGTTGAGTTAATTAAATCAAATCGAATGCATTTCGTTCCAAATAACGTAACTTCGCTAATTATTAATTAACCATAATATAATATTGATCATGGATGTTTAAGCAGCTTAAGCATCGGACCTATAAATTCTACGATATAATGCTTATGTAATGCATTTGTTGTAAACCGTTCGTACAGAGTAATATATATCGTTTGCCTATCAGTCAATATATTTTTATTACATCATTTACAGCATTATTACGAAATATGTCTAAAGAGCTTTACGTGTCTGTTAATACCTTGTTTCGTTACGCAGATTACCAAATATCTTTGTTGCACTCTGGCTTGCATGTGCCTGCTGAAGGTGGCAAATACCGAAATTTCGAGAGACAAGGTAAAAATACACATTGCAGTGAATAGTTTGCAGAACATTTCGTAAATTTGTGTATTAAATTATCTGTAGAATTTGTAAATTTTTATAATATCTATTTTTTAAAAACTACTTTTTCTTTTTAATCAATTATCGATATAAAAAAAATCTCTAGTGTACGACTTTGTTTTATGTAAAATAGATTAAAATAGATAATTGTAAGAGAATCTGTACAAATTTAATATCTTATATTAAATATCAATTAAATTTCACACATTTTGGATAGATAAAAATAGTTTTAATTGAAACGGGCGGGCAGAATTCACTTTTACAGTTCGAACGGCAGCTCCTAAACGCCCTAAACGCGGAGAAAACAATCAAGTCAAAGAGGCCATTTTGCAATGCTTTCACGGGTAAGAAATAAATTTTATTTTTTTTACTAGCGATCCAACAATACTCTCTAAAAATAATTTTAAATATTCTTTGAAAGCTAAAAATTTTCTTGCTTGTAAAAACATATATTTTATATGGAATAGATCATAAAACAGCGCGCTTCAAAACTGAAAAATTTTAGTAATCATTAAATAAAGTACTTTCGATGCCTCGTAGGATGTGGCAGATTTATTTCGGAAGAGAGAAGAGTGAAGAAGAAAGGGCCTTCCACTCAGCTGCGGGACTTACCGGACGTTGAAGTGACGAGCGACAACGTTCAGCTTCCGATTTCTCTGTACAGGGCACTGCTAAACGCCGCCAAACAAAACGTTTGGAAAACGACGGATCGTGAGACGTACGATTATCGATTGCAACAAATACCGCGGATTTATCTCTCGGGTCAAATGCCTCTACGTGACATGATGGAAAGCTAATTCTAACGGACACAACTTGATGCATGGGCGCTTCTAGAATGTTTGTAACAGACGGAATTATATTTCACCTTCTTGTTTCTAAATATGTATTATGAAATTTATCTATATCACTAATCAAATATTCCGTAAGGAATTATGTTAATGAAATTACCATAATTTTACTTGAAACTCTTATTTCGAATCTTCTTCCGCGGCAGGATGCAGTCGTATTTCTTTGCGTCCACTTTACGGTGCTCATATCTTATCTATTTTCATTTCTGCGTTCCGTTATAATTAAAGAATTTAATTATGACGGAATTTAATTGAGAAAATTTGTACAATTATTCTGTTTTCAATACAGTTCTATTTTATGTACAACTTCCGAGAATTTTACCGCTACGAATGTATTATTCACCGAAAGAAGCATATAAAAATGTAATCAGTATAATATTGGTGTTAGCTAGAGAATTAGAGTAGAAATATTCATTTATTCGCAGGAGCACTTTGACTTTAATTATGCATTTATTTGTATGTACCTCATCCTCCCGACAAATATCTCAATTAATTTATTGACTTTAAGTAATATTAAATCTATATATTTTTTAAACGACTGTTAAATCGAATTTGGATTGTATTTAATAAATTATATAAAATCTGTTATCTAGTTAATTAATATGCAAAATAATAACTCTATTGACTTTGCACTTTTTTTGTTCTTTTAAATCACGATACATATTCTTAATAATTGCAGCAAGAATATTAGTAATATTGCAAGAGCATAACAAATATTGCTTTCTTATAACTGAGACATTTACTTTAAATAATTTAGAGATAAACGATAAGTTTTATTAGCACACTTCCGTTCCATATATATCTAATGTTTCCTAAATATCGCTGAGATAATATTGACGATTTTGATAGAATTATACGCCTAGAAATACTCAGCCCGACACATACCGGATTATCCGCCACTCCTGCAGGTTTACCCCAGAAATCCTCTGTACAAAGCGTGGCCGGGTCCCAAATTCGAGATCGTCGATCCTCACGCACGCCTCTCAAAGAATGATCTAATACCTGTCAAGTTGCATTATATCGATAATTATTTATATATAAATATTTTATATTTTATCTTATTAACAGTATATAAACACAAAAGATATTAAATTTAATTAGATAAAACAGATTTATCAAAAAATAAGTCATAAAAACTATCAATAACTCTATTATTCTTTGCAAATAACACAAGTAATATTGTTGAACATTATTTTTTATCATATATTAACCGTGATAGATGAAATAAAGAGACGTGTAAATCGCGTACGTAATTAATTTAGTAAACTTGACGTTTATTTATTACTACAAATTAATTTATATATTTTAACATCATTTTGCTCAATTAATCTAGAATAATAAACTTTCTATATAAAAAATATTTGATAGAAAATTTAAATTACAAATAACAAAATTCAAGATGAGACGAAAAATACATATCTATTTAAAGAATTTAATTTATCTCTGATATTTTTTAATCGATAATACATATAAAATATATTTATCTGAAAATAATAAAGTAAAACAGTAAAAAAAAAGAAAGCCTCAGAGCACAGATATTGTTTTCGTCTACCCTTTTCATAGCGAAATATGATCAACAAGGGATCGTACTTATGTATTCGTGACTTTCTAACTTCATTTAAAATCATTCGATCGCGTTAGAAAGATTCTTCTGAAAACGTCTCGAGAGATTTTCGTAAGTATCCGCGACGAAGATTCGATACGATATCCCACCGCAATGCTTTCCCTCTTTCAACGTCAAAGGGCTGCCTGCGGGCACTCTTTTGTACTTTGCAATTGCATTACCTGTAATCCGAGGATCTCCTGTGAAATTTTATTTTATTCAAGAGTTATCCTTCTCCGGGATCGTTCGACTCGGCTTCGAGTCGTGTCTCTATGCGTACCTCGAGGCGGATCCTGTGAGGAAAGGGCCACGCGAGAACGGAATCGTAACGGCCGCGGGTTAATCCGACACCTACGAAGATCGTGCCGTCGGGAAAATATTTAGGAGTGATCTTCAGATACATGGCGTAACCGCTATGACCCGCGTAAAACGTAGGGCCGCGCATCGAACGGCCGGTCTGCCAGTTCGCCAGCATCACATTAAAACTCCTCACCTGCCAATAATAGACGAAGGCATCTGTTGAACCTGGAATAAGAATGATTTGTTATTGTTATTGTTAAGTTACAATTTTAATCCTCAACTGATAATCGTTGCCTCCTTCTGTTAATATATTATATTTTTTGTGATTTTCATATTAAAAAAAAAAACAAGATTTCTGTGAATTGTGATATTATTGTATCCTTCGATTCTGCTATCTAAACTTTTTTTCTGAATATCACACAAAGCAAGAACTCTAATTGTAAATCTAATCTTCTTATAAACTAAATTTTTTTCTGGAAGAATAAAAAATTATTAGATTAAGATAAAGTAAGCTTCAAACAATAAAATCTCATGTTTCAATTGGAGTAAACCTTGCATCAACATGCGTGTAATTTGTAAATTAACGGTCAAATTATATATGAGAGGTCAAATTAAATTCAGGTCAAATTAAAAATTATTTATAATTAGTTAAAGTCGACTACTTATAATATTAAATATTCGCTCAAATAAACTTGCCGTCGATTTGATAAGAAAGATTAATATTTAAATCCAAAGGATTATTAGATTGACGATCATAGTTTTGAAAAGCATTTTCTCTAAATAATTACTTACATAAAAATCGATTGATTTACAGCCATTTATTACAATATTTGATAATTTAAATATCTAACAAATACCTCAATTTAAATATTTTAATAATTAAATTTTAATAATTCAATGTAACTACAAATTTAATAGCAGTCGCGTTACAAGTTTTAACGGATTCTCAGCGGATTACGCTTTTACTGTTCAAACGCGACAGAGTTAATCATGTACTCGAAATAAATCTCCGTACTTCGTTGCACTATTCATTTCGTTTGAATCATGTTTATCCCGACTAAGCTTCAGCTTTGTCGTCCTATGGACAAGGCGAACTCTCACCTTCCCTCTTCCCTCTCCCTCAGAACGCAGAATCCATTTACATAAAACCATGGAGCTCTTACATACAAATGCTTAGCTTAGGCTCTGAAGTATAACAATGCGTATTATGCAAGAAGTGCAAGACTTCTACACGCGTCATCCGCGTTATATTTCGGGTCTCATTATTCTAGAATAGAATCACATACACATGCGATAACAAACACAAAGTTAAAATGTCACGTTTTGCGTAGCCTTAGCTTCTCGAAAATGAATTGTATCATACTTGAATGATACATTATCATTCAAGTTATAATTAGCAATTGAAAATAAAGTTAATTTAATTTTTCATACTAAGCTTTGCAATCAGATTGCGTAAAAATTATTCAGAATTCAAATTAAAATTTCGATAACCGTTTAATGGTAACTGTTAAAATTTGCAACAAATAATATTTATCTAACATTAAAATTTCAGACCTCCATTTCAACTCCAAAGAATTCAGAATATATTCTGCAACAAGCATTTATTTCTTGCAGAATCAATAATATGTGTTAATAATTAATATAAAAATACTAAACTAGAAAAAAAATTTTCTTTCAATTGTTATATAGTTAATTAAAACTGAAGAATACACTTGTAAATATAGGATCGTTCTTTCGTCAAGTTCACTAATCTCATTCATGCAAGATAGGCCGATGCAGAGGCACTTGCAAAGTTTTGAGAACTTGAGGTCTTCCAATTACTGAAGAACTATTCCATGTTTAGTTGAGAGCGTAAAGTTAACTTTAGCCTATTGCTATTATGTGTTAATAAATGCATTTTGTTTTACTGAAAGTAATTTAAAAATTATTATTTCGTCGTAATTGCACTAACCATTTAATACTGTTAAGCTTTGCATAGTATTGTTGAATTTATTGATTTCATCTTGTCTCGGGGATAAATAATTGTCAACTGCTCCGTCGTAAAGATTAGCGTTTCGCACATTTTTCAAATAATTTGGCTGCTGCTCTAGAATGCTGTAAAGTAACCATTTAACATCCGCAAATTCCTTGCTCAACTTTTCCTCGAGACTTGCAAATTTTTCGTCCATCGTCTCTGAAAGCATACGTTTTCATTAATGACAATTAACTTTTCATACATTTACGAGGGCGGGATTATATTCGTTCCAATGAAAAAATTAGATCGACTCTTAAGGCTCAATTTGAAATTGGATGGAATGGCGATTGTCTTTATTTAAATTTACAGCTAAGATTTCATTCAGCGCGCCAGACATGATGCTCCGTTTGAAGTTCCCCGTATCATATCGCATATATATAATTCTCTCTTTCACGCTATTTATATGTTAAAATTGCGGTCCGAAAAATCGTGATTAATGCAAGTCTTGAATGCATACAAATTCGATCATCTTCTAATATAATTGAAAATTATCAGAATTATTTATTTATGACGAAAGATATAAGTTGTTGCCTAAAAGATTTTATTTTTTATTTTCTATAACTAATAATAAATATTATTAATCTCATAAAAAACTTAATGATGAAGATATGAAAAATGCATAAAAAATATTTAAATAAGTGTACATGCATAATTAAATAAAAAATAAATTGCTCGAAAAATATAGAATCTGATCTTAGCCAAATATTACGAGACAAATCTAAATTTCAAACAGTAATACTGTTAAAAGGTACTACACTATGTTTAATTAATAGAATATTATTTCATTTTTCTACTGTAATTACGGATATTATTATAAATATTATATTTATGGATCAAAAGACTTGCTGTAGTATCATTTAATATTAATATTTACATTTTAATTTTAGCCTCTGTTTAATATTACATTTGTATTTTATTTTATTAATTTTAATTTTCACTTACTCGCCTTACATGCTCCGGTGAGTACTGTTTTAACAGTGGCACGTGCATTTGCGACCACATCTTCCGTTGCGATCTTACAAATAGTATGTTGCGTTTCCGTGACATCGTCACTGCTAACATTGGCCTCAATCGTCGCTAAAAATTGCAAAGTGTCGCAGATAAATCCGTACCTTTTAATAAATGATACATCAAAGAAACTGCATACGACTTTGTCAAAATAAAATAAATTATTTGTAAAACAAGTTTATATACAGTATAACTTAATAATTTCTTTTTTTGAAATTGTAAATTTTTCTATTTTGAAATTAGAGATGATGTGTAAAATATTATATCAAATAGACATTACAATCTATGCTTTCTACATTTCTATTTCTATTAATTTATTTTAAGTGAATTTAATAAACAAAATTATTATGCACAAATCTTTATATCTATATAAGAAATATAAAGGAAAGAGGAATAAACACTTAATCAAAAGAATGTATATAATTCTGTTAATTAAATGAAATTATAGCATTTAATTTGATTTTATAATTTTTAAATACATGTTTTTCAAAGTTTTTGTTTCGGGTTTTATTCATGATTACACTACAGTGTTTGTTAAGATAGAGTTTTTAATTAAATTGTATCAAAAATTGTCCACCAAAATCCTTACAGAAATTCACAATTTAAACATATAGTTTAAACATAGCCGATTTAATATTGGAGTCTACTTAATTTTGAATATTAAAAGCTCAAAAATAAAAGTGTTGGATACAGTGTTTTTCAAATTAAAATAAATAATTAATCATTATCTACCAATATTAGATTTCTGTAAGGAATAATAAACAATTAATCATTTCGCACTTACGCATTTTCCGCAAAGTTTCACCACCGTAAGCCAAATAGAGCGAAACGAGACAAAACAGTGATATGGAATAACGCATGATCCTCGACATTTCGTTGCACGTGAACGACATGTTGTGAATTCATCACCGTGTGGCCGAAATTATAAACAGCAGTGGCTTCCATCCGCCCTTAAAAATAGATTTTATCATCTTCTTACGCTAAGAGAACTCGTCGAAGAAAAATATAGATATAACTGTACTGACGACACCGTATAAAAAATTATTTTCATTGTGCAATGCGTATGTAGAATATTTTATATTACTTCAATAAATATTAATGTTCTTTTTTATATCAATTATTTTAAAGTTTTAATTTAAATATATAGACATAAATTAAAATTAAATTATTATAGAAATAACTTAAAGTAAAAAGGACTCCTTAATTTAAATAACGTACGATTAAGAAAGGGCCGTTAGGAGTCGGACCATTTACCGCGTCGACTCCTAACAGCCCTTTCTTAAACACGTTATTATAGAAATATTTTGCTTTCAATTTTGTCGGTGAATTAATCAGCGATTAAACTAGCAATAATTAAGCGGAGTTTGATCAAACACATCTGTTAGAATTACCGCGGTCAATATATAAAACCAAAAAATTAATCTACTAAATTATTCATTATATTAATTATGTTGAACCCTTCAAGCAATGTTTAAATTATAATATAATAATATATATTTTGTAAAATATATTCAAAAATTTTTGTGAAAAAATTAATTCAATCATTTAAAAAAGACACGTATTTAAAAAAATAGAATATACGATCACGCGTACAAAAATCTCTTAAAAACATTGTAGTTCGATCTGTTTTGTAATTACAAATATCTATCTGCACTTAAAAAAAAAATGAAAGGCATATTATTATCTATCAAAAATTATCTATCAAAAAAAAGAAATAAAAAGGCACAAAAAGAGTACAAACAGCTAAAGGTAACAAGGAAAGAGCAGCAAATATTATATATGTATATAAAATTGTAAATTTACCTTCCATACCGAAGTAGATTGAACGCATCCACATGACATCTCTACATGTAAACTGAACTATGTGTCCACAGATATTTTCGGCAGGAGAAGAACTGGCTCCACGTCTCCACGATCTACGAATTTCGAGTACATACATACATATATACGTGTATATTAACAGTTTTCGAGGTGAATTACTATGGGTCACCGACGATCTCAAATAACAACGATTACCATAGGAAAGCTACGTACCATATGCAACTAATTCGAGAGTCGATAATATCGATATCGCGTTTCGCGACAGATCCGCTGTGGGTGGCGTGAATAATACGATCGCGTGAAAGTATACCTAATAAAACTGTCGTACAACTGCCATATTGCATTGAACAGTAACATTTAGCTAAGCGTCACTATGATCGCGCGGATCGCACTTGACGAATCTGTCGCCTTATCTCTCAAAAAACTGTATCCGACGTCGGATTTTCCATCGGATCGACGCCATAAGACGTGAAAATGTCAAAATACCTGGCGATGATCCTTGCACACGTATCCTGGCATTCCTGGCTGTATTTAGAACAAAATATATCCAAGATATCCGGGCTAGAACAGCGGCTCCTTGTTCGACGCTCCACGGAGCACATCAGGAGCTCCAGATCGCTAGTACTCCAACGCGGACGCACCACACAAAGTATTCGTGATTCACATGTATTCCTTCACTGCATTCCGTCACTGTATTCCATATCACTGTATTCCATATCACTGCATTCCGTCACTGCATTCCTTGATCACTGCATTCCTTCACTGCATTCCTTCACTGCATTCCTTCACTGCATTCCTTGATCACTGCATTCCGTCACTGCATTCCTTGATCACTGCTTTCCTTGATCACTGCATTCCTTCACTGCATCCTTTATCACTGCATCCTTTATCACTGCATCCTTTATCACTGCATCCTTGATCACTGCATTCCTCGATCACTGCATTCCGTCACTGCATTCCTTGATCACTGCATTCCTTCACTGCATTCCTTGATCACTGCATTCCTTCACTGCATCCTTTATCACTGCATCCTTGATCACTGCATTCCTTCACTGCATCCTTTATCACTGCATCCTTGATCACTGCATTCCTTCACTGCATCCTTTATCACTGCATCCTTGATCACTGCATTCCTTCACTGCATCCTTTATCACTGCATCCTTGATCACTGCATTCCTTCACTGCATTCCGTCACTGCATTCCTTCACTGCATTCCTTCACTGCATTCCGTTATTACTGTATTCAATCACTGCAGCATTTCCATCGCGTACACACTGTATTCACACGCGAGATACTCTCCTAAACGATAACAATAGCGAGAGATACAGAGATACACTTGGACGCGACCGCATCGTCCATGTCGTCCCGTCGTTTGTCTATTGTTTAGACGTTTCTAGAACGTTTTGGGCGCGCAAATCTCGCAATCGCGATATTGAGAAATTTCAAATTGAAGGAACCAATCACGTCGCGACGATCGGGCATTGTCTCATCTTGCTATACTTAATGACGTACGTACATACGGTAGGTTCGGAGATATGTGATCATTTGGTTCCGTTTCATGTTAAAGCTCCACGAAATGAAATGCATAACGAAAAAAGAATTATGAAATTAATGAAAGAGCAACGAATAATTTAATAACATGAAAAATAACATAAATAAAATCAATAAAATATAAAATAAAATTAAAGGAATTACTTTCTTTATAACAAAATTAGAGTACCATAATTATAATAATTAGTCATAAAAGATAAATCTATCTCTACACTATATCAAACAATATATAAAACATGTGAATTACCTTTAGAATTACCTCTTTATCCTGATTCGTCCAATCCCCCAGAAATTTCAAAATGACGTCACGATTCCGGACGTGCACAATGGCGCACTTTTCAAGCGGGAGAGGTGATCAAACTGGACCAGACTTGACTTGAATCACTGTGATACTCGACTTTTCCTCCCGGCTGAATTCGCACCGACTTTTATCGGAAAAATGGGTGAAAACGTACAGGGAACGTTTGTGTCCGAGAAAATTTCCAAGATAAGGTGGCAGTACGGAAATTTTACGGAAGCGAAGAATTTTTTAACCGGCAGTTGGGATAACCCGGTAAGATTTCTGACATACCTAACCTATAAATTGTTCTAGACAAATGTATATGCATGTATAATTAATATAGTATTTTTGTATACTTAATCAAACTTTGTACATTTATGTATAATTTTACAAATTTATTATTGTATATTATATTTATATGTATACATTTATTTCAAGAATTGAAATTAAAAATTTATAATAATGATTTATAATAATTTGAGTTCAAGTAGTCTGGAATTTAATCTTGTCAAATTTCTCTTGCGCAGGTAAATAAAATAACGTATTGGACGTTCAGAACGAATTACGACGAGGAATCGTATCCTGTGGTCCTGTCGTCGTACTCATTCCTTGGAGATGTAACTGAACTGAAGGTAGTACACCATTCTTTCCTGATAAAATTAACAGCTTTTATCTCTTGCGCATCAAGAATTAATAGAACGTGGATTTTCAGTTTATCAGCAAAGATTTCTTCGTCGCTGCCTCGTCTTTAGGCTCAATAAGATTACTGCAGATCGATGAGGATGCCTGTACCGAATTTAAGGAGCACATGGCATGGGAATTTGTACATAGTTTCAAGTGAGTCAACCCAGTTATAAATCGATTGCTCTAAAACTCGAAGTAAACAAACATTGAGTGTTACCATGTTCTTATTAATGCATTTTTATTACACGCAGAACAACGGATTATGCCTCCTGCACTGCCTTGTCCACCTTTGAACAAGACATAGCTTCAGTGGGAGAGGACGGAAAGCTCAATCTTCTCACGGCTGCAGAAAAGAAACCAGTTAGAGCTATTGGTAAATGCCGCAGTAACGCGTGCCTTAATATATCTTGTAATGCACAATCTGATTATTGTATTTAAATGTGTGTCATCTTTTATTCTCAGAAAATGCCGATAGCTGCTCCATATATTGCGTCGATTTCTTAAAGCACAATGAAGTGCTCACAGGAAATTCCAGAGGACATATGAAAGTTTGGGATTTGAGAAATGATCGGGATGTGCCTGCAACTACTTTCATGCTCTCAGATCAGGTTAAAGTAAGTTTCATATTTTTTTTAATACAACTTTAATCCATAAACTTCTGATCTTTTTTAATCAAGCTTTATAAAATCTTGTATAAGTTTCATAAAGTGGACAAATGAATTTTACAGACAGCAGCTACAAGTATTACGCATCATCCTACTCAGAGACATATTGTGGTCGCTGGTGGAGACGACGGCAGTTTAACCGTGTGGGATTTAAGGCAGAATACGTATCCGATGTCGCAACTGAACGCGCACAGCAAAGCCGTCAGCGAGATACTGTTCCACCAAGACAGACCCGATAATCTTTTCACCTGTTCCGTCAGCGGAGAATTGTGGCATTGGAATAATGCACAGAGTTCGAAATTGAAACTCGGTAAATAATTTGAAAACAGGTCCTAATTAATAAGGAATTTAATGTAACTCCAACGTGCAACGAGTTGATTTTAATATTCTGTTTTTTTTTTTCGTGATACTAGATTCTGCGGACATGCACTGGTTGAATACAATTAGTACAAATGGAAAAGTTAACGTGACTTCGCTGTGCGCTGCTATGCACAAACCGATAAACAGTATCGATATCAACAGATCGATGCTGCTTTTTGGATGTGACAATGAAGCTATGTATATTGTAAAAAATGTACTTATTTAACAGAGTTATCCATATGTGTGTGTATATATATATTATTTTTTATATCTTTATTATATTTAAAATAAATTTGAAATCGCCATCTTTTCTGTACTTATTAGCATCGTTTGTTATTTTTCCGAAAATATATATTACAAAATTTGTAATGAATTTCCAATATCACGCTTGATAACTGAAGTAATTAGTACTAAAAATTAATGCTGCTCTGCCAAATTTCTATAAGAAATATGCATATATACATATATATAAAAACTGGTTTATATATATATATATAAATTAGTTTTTCGATAATTCAGTTATCAAGCGTTACATCGGAATGTTAATAAAAATTTTGTTAACAGTCTATTTAGTTGATTAATAGAACAAGCAGTTATCTCTTTGCATTATAATTTATAATTAGTTACTCATTTTTTGCGGAAAAATTTATTTTTACTTCAGAATTCCAATCGGTCCTTTTTTTATTATAAAAAAATTCTCCTTCCTCTACTTCCTTTCTCTCTCACTCTCAATATTGCTGTCAACGCCATCTGCTGTCGCTTGCCTCCATCACAAAGGCAGGAAGCCCGAATGCCCGTCGAAGCTGCTGCTGGCGCCCGCTTGCCATCTTGACTGACGCCTCGCCTGAGACCTGAGACCTCGTAAACAGTTTTTGGCCTTTGCTCGACCGCGCTTGAAGCGACGGGGACGCTATGTCGAAGCGCAGAATCGAAGTCGTGGATCCCTATGTCAAACGGAAAGCCACGTGAGTGCCACCAACGTGTTCCCGCTTCGCGGACGACGCGCGACGGCGGATAGTCCGCGGGGTAGCTCCCCCCCTTTTGCCATGTGCAATGTCGCGGCATCGTGCTCGGAGCATGCCATGGTGCTTATCACGCGTGATCGCGCGCGCGACGATATCCGCGCCAAGCCCTCGCGGGTTTCGTGTCCTGGCACGCGGCTCCACGCGGCACGACGAGCCTCGAACGGGCTTCGTCACTCACGACTTTTCGACCCTCACTTCCGGCGACAAGGGACACTACTCTCGCCGTTATCCTCCGTAACGGTTCTCGTCTGACCTGTTTCGCATTTGTAACGAAAAAATAGGAAACGATGCTTTTAATAGTCGCTCTTCGTCAGCGAGCGTATACCGCATACACGCTATAATTGTAATACATAAGTACCGCTTGTTCACCACGCATCGTCACCGTAATTTGATTACCCTCGCACGTGTGGCGATGCGTGCGTCAGCAGTGCGTCTCGCGGTCGCTCTGTTTTGCGTAGAGACTCTTATTTTCATCTCGCATCACCGTTATTCCGCGCCCTACCCTCCGCACAGTACATATAGATTGTTAGAATGACTAATGTCACACGACGATGATCATTTTGCAGGGACAGCAATGTTTCCAACAATGCAACAATCCCGGGGTCCACGGCGGCGAAGAGCCAAGTGCAGTTCAATCCATATACCATGCTGCCATACACGCCAAGATACTACGAACTTTACAAGAAGAGAATAACTTTGCCTGTGTTTGAGTATCGTACCGATTTTATGAGATTGCTGTCCCAGCATCAATGCATCGTTCTTGTCGGAGAGACAGGCTCTGGCAAAACCACGCAAATACCGCAATGGTGCGTGGAATATTCAAAGAGCATTGGATCCAAAGGAGTCGCCTGTACGCAGCCGAGAAGAGTGGCTGCGATGAGCGTGGCTCAAAGAGTTTCAGAAGAGATGGACGTTTCCTTAGGTATGTATTTATTACCATTGAAAAAGTCTAAACAGATTTTTTGTAAGAGAATTTCCAAAAAAACAAATATTACTATAGAAACAGTAATAAATAAAAAAAAATTTACATAATTTGTTGACAGGTCAAGAAGTAGGATATAGCATCCGTTTTGAAGATTGTAGTTCGCCGAAGACTGTGCTGAAGTACATGACCGACGGTATGTTGCTTCGGGAGGGCATGTCTGATCCCATGTTGGATGCCTATCAAGTGATACTGCTAGACGAAGCTCATGAAAGAACGTTAGCTACTGACTTGCTGATGGGTGTTTTGAAAGAAGTGATCAAGCAGAGACCAGACTTGAAACTTGTGATTATGAGTGCTACATTGGACGCTGGGAAGTTTCAGCAGTATTTCGACAACGCACCGCTCATGAACGTACCTGGTAGAACGCATCCAGTCGAGATATTTTACACGCCTGAGCCGGAAAGGGACTACCTGGAGGCGGCGATTAGAACTGTCATTCAGATACAGATGTGCGAGGAGATTCCCGGGGACCTCTTGCTGTTCTTGACTGGCCAAGAGGAAATCGAGGAAGCTTGCAAGAGAATAAAAAGAGAAATGGACAATCTGGGACCTGAAGTTGGTGAACTAAAGTGCATACCATTGTACTCGACACTGCCGCCGAATCTCCAACAGAGAATATTCGAACCTGCCCCGCTTCCCAAATCTAACGGTGCTATCGGCCGCAAGGTCGTCGTTTCGACCAATATCGCAGAGACATCGTTGACTATCGACGGGGTTGTCTTTGTCATAGATCCTGGTTTTGCCAAGCAAAAAGTAAATACGACGCTCTAATTAGCTTAAGTCAATCGTAAGAATTTTTACTGTCGCGAATCTCTTATTAATTTCTGATGCTTTTTATCAATAGGTATACAATCCTAGGATTCGTGTCGAATCCCTTTTAGTGTCGCCTATTAGCAAGGCTTCGGCGCAGCAGAGAGCCGGTCGTGCTGGCAGAACAAGGCCTGGAAAGTGTTTCAGATTATACACAGAAAAAGCGTATAAAAATGAGATGCAGGATAATACCTATCCTGAGATTTTACGTTCTAATCTTGGAAGCGTCGTATTGCAATTGAAGAAACTTGGAATCGATGATCTGGTGCGTTTATCGTAATATTGAATTAATGGTTAATCGTTTTATTTTATTTTTTTTAAGTAATATTGTAAAGGTATTATAAAAATAATTTTATATTGCATGTTCTGTGCGACAGGTACATTTTGATTTTATGGACCCACCTGCGCCCGAAACTCTTATGAGAGCTTTGGAGCTTTTGAATTATCTAGCAGCTCTTGACGATGACGGAAATCTGACGGATCTCGGCGCGGTAATGGCAGAATTTCCATTAGATCCTCAATTGGCGAAGATGCTTATAGCTTCTTGCAATCATAATTGCAGCAATGAGATACTCAGCATTACTGCTATGCTTTCAGGTAACGTATTGGGGTTTGCCATATATGATAATATCATATATAATTGCTTATCAGTACTTTATTAACAATTTAGTAATAGTTTTTCTATTTATTAATATTATCTATATATTAATATATCATATGTGAAATATATAAGAAAGAATTATCAAAAATAAAGTAATAGAATCAGAATTGTGGTAAGATAACATGGTAGTATATTGACGATTGACATGGTATTAGTCCCACAGTGTTTTGTGAGACCGAATGAATCGAAAAAGGCCGCCGATGATGCAAAAATGAAGTTTGCGCACATTGATGGCGATCATCTGACGCTGCTTAATGTGTATCATTCTTTCAAACAACGTAAGTGCTTACATCTTATTTATTTCTATCGTGAAACATAGCTCAGTTGCTTCATCTGTGACGAATTACTTACAGATATGGACGATGTCCAATGGTGTTACGACAACTATGTGAATTACCGATCGTTGAAGAGTGGAGACAACGTAAGGCAACAGTTGAGCAGAATAATGGACAGATTTGTATTGAAACGCACTTCGACGGATTTCAATTCAAAAGACTATTATATTAACATCAGGAAAGCTCTCGTCAACGGCTTCTTCATGCAGGTAAATATCATTTTGCAATGCTCTATATACACGACTATACAATGCTTTTCTTTATTTTGTATCTTGACTTTGTTACTTTCAACAGGTAGCGCATTTAGAGAGAACGGGACATTACCTGACCATCAAAGATAACCAGGTGGTACAACTTCATCCAAGCAGTTGTCTCGATCACAAGCCGGAATGGGTTATTTATAATGAATTTGTGCTCACTACTAAAAATTACATCAGGACAGTCACTGACATTAAACGTAAGTTTTCTCGTCTATTACATTACAATTAGCAAATATTTGCGCTGTATTATGTCTTTCCTCTTTATCGATTTGCTAATATTAGTAGCTTTCGACAATTCTATTTTTCTTTAATGAGATTTTATTTATCTTTTTACAGCTGATTGGCTGCTCATGATAGCGCCGCAATATTACGATCTAAATAATTTTCCTCAATGTGAAGCAAAAAGACAACTGGAGTTCACCCAAGCGAAATTAGACTCAAAACAGTATCAGGAAGGTTTCTAACCTCTATATACTTTAGATGTGTTTGGAAATCGCAAGAAACTGTCGGGAATGCTCAGTCAAAAATCTGCTTTTATCGTGGCAAACTTCAGCACACGATTTTCTCACCTATCGAAGCCACATCACATACAAGACATTGTAAAGAACACTTTATGGAGAACACTTTCTGTCCTTCAAAAGACACGAAAGAAATCTATTAAAACCTTTAGATTTTTGTATAAGCTATTAATTATTGGCTTGTACGGTGTAAAAATTAAACGTTTGAAAATTTAATTTAAATTTTTGATATTTAAGTTAAAATATGTGGAAGAAAAATGGACAATTAACTTGAAACACGCAGATAATGTAATCGACATAAGAGGGTTATTTATGTACATTTAAGAGAAGATTTAGTCTCTAAGTAATTTTAACAATAGAATTCACATTAATCGACGTACATAATTTAACATTCGAAACGCATTCGGGATGTCACTAGATATAATAGATTAATTTTTGTATTAAATGTTGACCGTATTATGTGAAGAAGGTATATAAATGGCCACTATATTTAACAAAAGATAAGGTCTTGTATTTGCCTAAAAAAGATTTTTTTTTAAAAAGAATTGTTTCTTCTGTTGTAATAGCGTGTCACTCTTTTTGCGGTGGACTCAGATTTATGGGATCATAATTTGATGTGCTTCGTATTCTGTATGCCTCCCCATAAAGTTAGAGTATGTTCCAGCGTGCACGGTGGCATTTTTTAATGAAATGATTAGTGAGAATGCTTATAAACACGCATAAACTTTTTACTAAAGAGATATAGAACATAAAAAAAAATATTTCTAGACACTTCTCCTACATCTGAAAGAATCAAATTGATAAAGAAAAAAATATTTATGATATATTAATATAATAAAAGTCATAAGTCAAAGCACACATTACATACACACACACACACACACACACACACACGTACACAGACACAGTGGCCAGTTTATGAAAAAGCAGCATTCAGTGTAATAAAGCATCTTTATTAGCACCTGAAAAGAAAAACTGAATTTGCGTATCCTATATGTTTATTGTTTATCATTGATATTCTACACGTATTAACAATAAATATGTGGATTTTTTTTATGGGCAAGATCAAATAATTCTGTCTCGAATGTTCAGTGAATTCTATAATTAACTCGGCAATTGTTACAGTCACCAGCTGTAACTGTTTCTCTTTTGTTATAACTCCGACATAACGAGATATATTTTTCGATTTTGTAAATAAATGTGCGTGAAAAATGGTCTTTATGGAAATGCGAAATTAGTTATAATAGATAATGTTTTATTGCGTTACACGTTTCATTCCAATAAACACAAGGCTTTTATCTCAATATTAATAACTGATGTTTATGTATTTCACGTTTAGTTAAAGATCAGTATGTATGTACATTTATTTAACAATTTTAATTCTAATTTTCTATGATGAAAACGATTCGAGATTGACTTTATATTGATGTCTAATTATATTATCTTATTATTTGTTCATTTATCTCGGTGTTCTAACATCTCAGAATGCAAATCACCGTCTATAGACTTGCATAAATAAGCTATTATGACTCGCTTTTTATAATAGCCTGCATTCCGATAAGAAATTTTTATCTATGAAACTCTCATCGTGGACGACTTTGAACAAATTTCGATTAATTGATTATTAATTCAACCGGTAGAAATAATTTGAAACAAATTTAAATTTTTAGCTACATATAATTCGTTGTTTCTAATTATTTTGTTAAACCACAAAAAATTAATAATTTTATCTGTCGATAACGAAATATTAATATTGATATAAATATATATTACTTCATAAGTTAATTATATACGGGTTTAAAGTTTATCAGAATTCCATCGAGTTTATTATCTAAAGCTGCGATTTGTGAATTTAGCCGACAATTAATGATTTCTGAAACAATTTTTTTATTAAATTATTTTTATTTTGTATGACTTTTGAAGTGAAATTAAAAAGATTTTACAGTTATACAGCGACATTAATTATTTTTACACGTTTGTCATTAATAAATTAAAGTTTTTTTTATATAAAATCGTTTGTATAAAGAGTTTTGAAGTATAATTGAAAATATTTGATAATCAATTGACACGATTTAAAATTTAAATAAAAATTAAAAAAATATATAACTGTCTGATATATCAATTAACAATAAACTCATCGAAATTTTGCAGTCGTGTCGCGATCACAGCCATCTATAGATAGACCGAACGTGTCATATATAGCACGTGCGAGAAAGAGGGAACCACATTTGATTCTTTTTTTTTATTTTTTTATTTTTAAATAAATGTTGCTATCTGTATGTTAGAGAGAGAAGAGGAAATAAGATGTTCCCTCTCTCTCGCACATGTCCATACGGCATGCTCGGTCCATCTATGCTATATCTATGGTTTCGGTAGTGACTTTCTTTCTGGTGCTCGACTTCCGTTGGTAGTGGTTTCCCGCGCATGCAATTTTCGTCGCGTTCACCACCTGGTGGAACACGCACTGTGGGTGAAGCGATATCAACAAAGGAAGTAGGGACAGATCTGTCGGCGTCTAATCGCAGCCTGATAGCTTAATATCGAGGGATCATCGATCAAGATCGTTCGACAAAATTTCCGTGACACTCGCAAACACGCAATATGTTCAGTTTAAGTGAGATTGGCGAGCAGTTGAAAGACGTGAGCCGAAAATCGGTCGGAGTCTCATTCGCCGGTCAGTCGCTCGTTTTGGACACCGCGAATGACGGTAAGACGTTAGAATTTTTTCCACGATGTATCCGCTTGTGTTTCTCACGTGCATAAAACACGCGAAGCTATTGAACAATTACACGAGCTCAAGCTTCCGTCTTGGTCCTTGGGGACACAACTGTTTGTGAAATTTTATTTGCTGCAAAAATTTGAATTCTAATTGTATGTGTGTATAAATTAAATATTTATCTATAGGCATTATTTTTGTGTCTATTAATGCCGAAGAATTTGTTTGATCTTTTTTACAGTATTATGCATTTTGTTTTATGCACGATGTACATGAGGTATTATATTTTATCCTTAAACATTATTATATTTTATCCTTTAACGTTCAACATTAACAGTGAACAAAGATCTTGCATAAAACAGAATGCACCTTCTGTCTTATTATTGTACAGCTCTCCAAGTGGTGGTATTATATTTTATTCTTAAACATTATTATATTTTATCCTTTAACGTTCAACATTAACAGTGAACAAAGATCTTGCATAAAACAGAATGCACCTTCTGCCTTATTATTGTACAGCTCTCCAAGTGGTGGTATTATATTTTATTCTTAAACATTATTATATTTTATCCTTTAACGTTCAACATTAACAGTGAACAAAGATCTTGCATAAAACAGAATGCACCTTCTGCCTTATTATTGTACAGCTCTCCAAGTGGTGGAAGCAATTAAAGCATGTCCGTGCTTGGAGTACTTGGATCTGGAAGGAAACACATTGGGTACGCCAGCCGCCGAAGTTATAGCAGAGGCGTTGAAGGAGAAGGGAACACCGTTGAAGAGAGCTCTGTGGAAGGACATGTTCACTGGCCGTTTGAAGACAGAAATCCCGAAAGCGTTGGAGTATCTAGGAACTGCGTTGTGCACTGCCGGTAGTCAGCTTACCGAACTTGACTTGAGCGACAATGCCTTCGGTCCAATCGGTATTCAAGGGTTAGCAAATCTGTTGGCGTCGAGCCCGTGCTATACCCTTCAGCAGTTGAAATTGAACAACAACGGTCTCGGTATATCAGGTGGAAAGATGTTAGCCAAAGCATTGGAGAAGTGTCATGAGAATAGTTCTAAAGAAGGTGAGAATTATGTAATATGTAATTATATTTTTTTTATGCATTTAATATATAAATATCTAATTGCTCAATGGAATGACATTCTTCTACAGGCATGCCGCTTGCGCTGAAAGTTTTCATCGTCGGCAGAAATCGGCTGGAGAACGAGGGCGCGCAAGCGTTGGCATCTGTATTTGAAAAGCTGAAAACACTGGAGGAGGTTGTAATGCAACAGAACGGCATATATCACGTAGGCATCGCGGCGATTGCGCAGGGTTTATCCGCCAATCCTAATTTGCGAGTGTTAAATTTGAACGACAATACGATCGGATTGAAAGGAGCCAGAGCGATCGCTAGAGTTTTACCAATTTTCCGGGGTCTGGAGGAATTAAACCTCGGAGATTGTTTGATAAAGACAAAAGGGACTTTAGTTTTAGCGGAGGCTTTGGAGATTCACGGCAATCATACGTCCCTTAGATATCTGGATTTAAGCAATAACGAACTGCGCGCGGATGCTGGAAATGCCATTGGTAGGGCCATGCATGACAAGGCTCTTTTGACAAATCTACAGTTGGACGGTAATTGCTTTGGAACGGAAGGACGCGAGAGCCTCCAACAGATACTTACTAAATTGGGAAGAATTGATGCATTGAATTCTTTGGATGAGGATTATACCGAGGATGAGGAGGAGGAAGACGATAATGAGGCTGAGCAGAGCGAGGAAGACGAGAGTGATAATGAGGACGAAACCAGTGACAAAGATAATAAGGAACAAGACAATATTGCACAAGGTACAGTGGTAACAGTAGCGGAATTCGTGAAATCACCAATAGGTGAGAAACTGCTGCTACTGCAAGGCGATAATGTGCAAGCTTTTATCGATTATGTAACGGTACGTATTATATAATATGTATCTGCAACGATTAGTTATATTTCTAGTGAGATTTACTTCTTGTTTCAGAATTTGGCAAATGAAAGTGATGCAACAGAACAGAAGTATATAGAGGAACTCTTACGAATAACTATGAAGGTATCGGCATTGTGTGGCAGCGGCTACATAAATGTGAGAATAAAAGCGGAATCCTTGTCCGATGCTCTATATGCAAAGCTGTTTTCTTACGCTGTAGAGACTGATCAAATATCAAATTTGAATAATGGATTGCTAGTGAATCTTGGTTTAATAAAAGTAAGAAAAATTATACCTATAATTTACATGCATACAGAAGATACATTAGAAGCGAACAAAATAATTAATAATCATCTGTTTCTTAGAGCGAGGATAAAACCAGTGGAAAAATCGATTGGAATTTGGAGGGATGTTTTAAGGCTTTGGAAAAAATTACTCAGAGAGATTATTTCTTAGCGCAAACAAGGAGTATGTTGAAGGTATTTCTAGAGAAACCAATGAAGACTAGTCGTGCAAATGTAGTCGATCCATTTCAAGATTCTAAAACTGCTCTCAAAGCTGTTCTAGACATTATTCAAGTTACGTAAAATTTCGTGGTATGTCTTATAGTTATTTATTTTTATACATTGTATGGAAAATGATAGAAATTTCATGTAAAATTAGAATTAAGATACCATCATTATATATGACTTTTACAAAATAGTCGTTTAAGATGAATCTTGATAATTTTTAAATTTTGTACTTTTAATATTAAATTTGTTCAATACAAACTTCTCTTTGCAATCTTTGTCTCACAATAAGAAGTTCTACTTCGTTTTATTAAATGACTAACAATTACGAATAATGCGTAATAAATTATATCGAAATAAAAAATACATTTGTTATCTTACAATGTATATCTGTGTGTGTGGGTGTGTTTATATATATATATATATATATATATATATATATATATGTATATGTATATCGTTCTTAAATCTTTAATCTTGTATTCTATCCTCTCATTTTAACGTACTGAACGATCGATACATGTTATCCGTA